TACGTCAGAGCTTCCGGATGGGCTCTGACAGCGCTGTCTCCAGCATTTCAGAGGCGAGCGATAAGTGGTAGTGAGGCTTGGGTTCTTATGCTTGGTAGTGACCTCGTAGTTGGTGTTATCGGCCTCACCACCTTACGGTTGGCTCATTTGCATATCGTCCTGTCATTCTCTGGCTTGGTTTCTTAGTCCTAACACACACTAACTAATAATTCTTATTACAACAATTTCTCATACTTTAACACAATACAGTTAATCAGTACAACAGCAATCTTACATGTGTTCACCACAATGGTTAAATGCAATTCTATGGGCTATGTCACCCTAGTGCTAGTGCCCTTCTACCCCCAGTGCTATGTGACCTTCTTCATGTTTGAATTCTTTAGGTTTTATTTCTGCTATGCCATCCCTTCCCCACTGCTACTTTATCTGAACACAGGCTTGTCTGTTACTCTTCTGGTCCTCCTCCCTGCTGCAGTCCCACCAAAAAAAAACAACACCTGGTAGGACATCTATGAATTTCTCTCTAATGGCAGAATTATTCTGAATAACAGGTACAAGGCATTAAGTACCGCTCTGTTAGGCATACAATTGAAGTGATTACTTCATTCTATGTTATGATAATGTGACTGAGGCTCCTTCAGACCACAGTTCAGTTAAATAGTGACAGTAGCTTTAAAAGAATATGCTCATCTGCCCAAACCCTACTCACAATCAAAAACATAGAAACCTCAAAGAAAAAGACAATTCTTGGACTGGAGGTATGGCTCAAGTGATAAGAGAGCCTGCTTTGCAAGCATGAAGCCCTGAGTTCAAACCCCAGTATCACAAAAAAAGAAAACCTTGATTAGAAAAAGGCCATTCTTGCCAGCAAACCCCAAGAAGGTACAGAACTAGAAGAACTGGTGAAAAGCTTGTGTAAGGAACAATATGACCATAGATTTCCTTCCCCTACCTGGATGGAAGCCCACAGCATTGAGTCAGAGTAGGTGAAAATTTGGGGCACGAGGCATAGCTTAGTGCCACTGAAAGCAGAGGGATTGAGTGAAAGTCTGCAATTGTGTGGGTGCCCAATCCTGTTTCACTTAGCCACATAGCTTAAGGTAGTAATAAGAGGACTCTTCTGGAGCAGCTGGCCTGCAAGAAGCCAGGCATTGTGGTACATGACTGCAATCCCAGCACTTGGGAGGTGGAAGCAGGAGGATTATGAGTCTGAAGCCAGCCGGGCTACATAGTGAGACCCTGTCTCAGAAAAAGAAAAATTGCTGAGTGCCCTGTCTCAGAAAAAGAAAAAGAAGTGAGTACTCAATAAATTGGGCAGAGACTGGGGGAAGGCCAGCAGGTTAAGTATGTTGTTGAGAAATTTGAGTATACCAGGGATAGAGATGATCTTAAAAGTTTTATGAAACCAAAAAAGCAAAAGCACAAGGTAATGATTTCCCATTTAAAATGTTACTCCTACTGAAATGATTAATCAAATACAAGGGTAGAAATAAAGACATTTTAGATATGGTTTAGAGTGAAACCAGAGTCATCTTGTGTGATTGGGGTCTACTGCACTGCTAGGTCTTAGCTCTCCTAGCTCAGCAGCAGAGAGTTCCTAGTTCACACAGAGTTCTTTTGTCTCCTGAATGCTAAGAATGCAGTCCATAGAGAGTGAGTGCACAGGCAAGAAGTTTCTTAAGCAAAAGGACAAAGCACCCACGGAAGAGGGAGGGGTCCTGAAGAGGTTGCCAGGGACTCCACTTGGTCTAGGGATATTTACTTAGTTGAAGAGGGTGTTGTCCACCTAAGTATGTCCAGCTAATTAGGTATGAGAAATGTACATTTCTTTAGCTATGAACGGTCAGTGGGGTTAGGATTGGGTTTGATCTCAGTCCTCAGGGGTTGGGTCCCAAACTCAGAAGATAGTCCTCAACCAGGGCTGCCCTACACTGTCCCCTTTTCTTTTTTCCCATTTCCTTATCTGGAGAAGTGCACCTTGTCACTAGGGTGTATGGATAGCATATGACTAATGTGTGTGTGTGTCTCCTAGGCTCTCAGGACCCTTCCTGCCTTTTTTCTCTTCTGGCTAGGATGTAGTGAACAGGCCCACAAAAGCATGAACTCAATCAGAGTGGTCCATTCAACCACATTTAGAGAGTGACATGTGAAGGAGGACTCAGAGCCACAAGTTCAGTTCACACATTTATTGCAGGGATTGTTACACGCATAAGGGCTCACCAAAGGAAGAGTGGGTCCTCATTGTCACTGACCGAAAGCAGGTTCTTGTGAAGAACTGAGCTCCCTGGCAGCAGCCTCCAGGGAGCATTCAGGTCCACAGTAGGGCTGTCAGGAAAAGGGCAACCATGGTAACCAGACTCGGGAGCCAGACATCTGAACTGTGGGGGGTAGTCAGAGCTAGAAGGTACTGGTCATGGTGGACCAGTGCTGCAACATGGAAATCAGGAGTGACCAAGGGAGGTCACCCACCACAGCAGTGAGAAGGCTGGCAAGGAGAGCACACAGGAACAGTCCCTTGATGCTGGCCTACATTGCTTGAGTGCGAAGGATGTGAAGAAGTGCTTCTGGTGGTCAAGTCCAGCTGGTCAGCATTTATAGTGTCAACTGGGCTTGTACCTCTTGGGTCTGTCCTGCAACATTAACAGATTGGTTATAGCCTTGGGGGTGTATGGTTGTTCCCAGTTTGGATGGGTGTGTCCTCAAGCTCTGGCTTCATGTGCCAGCATGTTATGATGTTACTATCCATGTTCATATCATAGGGTCAGACATGGGCACTTTACTCTTTGTGGAATATTAACCTGAAGAAAAACAGCATGTGCCTCTGAGTTCTGCTTACATGTGTCTCTTTTTGTAAATGGGGCTCTGGGGGCTCCCTGTCCTAACTGCCTAAAGTTATTACTATCTCTTGTACTCACGAGCTCAGAAGCCTATTGGAGCATGAGTTCCATTAAAATGAGGAGCAAACCAGGGAAGAAGATATGACTCAGAATCCAGGAAATGTCCAAGTTGTGGCAGGAAGATGGGCTTCCAAGAGGATGGTCTTCAAAAAAAAATGAAGCTAGCACTTTATCTGATATGCATGACTGTACTGGCGGGTGAAACAGTGACAGAACACAGATAACCAAACAAATGGAAAAACAAGGCAATTATTAACTCCAGGAAAAATCAAAATTACACCTAAAGGAAATATAATCATAAATCAATATAGGGCTTAACAGCCAATGGTAAACATATAGTATGCTGAACTCAGAATGCAAATTTCAACCAAAATATTAAACTGTTTAGGGAGACTGATAGGAAAGGATATGTTGGTATGTATATGTGAGTGGGTGATACACATTTCAGGGAAAATAGTACGAGAGCTAACTCTTCTTTCATTGTAGGAAGTCAACAATGTCTAAAAATCAAGATTAAAAAGTAGCACAAGCCAGGCATGATGGCACATGACTCATGCCTATAATCCCAGCACTTGGGAGTCAGGAGAATCACTACCAGTTCCAGGCCTGGGCTACATAGCAAGATCCTAAAAAACAAAGCAAACATAGCACTTGGGAGGCAGAGGCAGGATTATAAATTCTAGGCCAGCAAGGAGTGGTGGCTATACATGAAGACCCTATGTTAAAAAAAAGAAAAATCTAACATTAAATTTCTGTGGGTCTTTTTGTTTTTTTTGTGTACTGGGGACTGAACCCAGGGTTTCTTTACTACTTGAGCTATGCCCCAACTTGTTTTTGAGACAGTCTATCAGACTGACCTTGTGATCCTCCTGCCTCTGACTCCTTAGTTTTGGGATGACACCATGTCCAGTAGCATTAAATTCTCCATTGAGAAACATGAAGTGAATCACTGAAGATATCCTAAAAAAAAGTAGTGCTTGTTTGGGGGAAGCAAAGATCAGCTGGTGGATTTGGTGGTGGTAGGATAAGAAGTTCTTTTCTTAGTGCTTCTGTTTTCTCAGTGAAATAAGAAAGTCATCATGTAATAATGTTGGTAGTTTGAAGAGAACCAAAAGATATGAAATAGTCTTCGTGGAGAATCTGGGGGGGTTATAGGATTATAAGAAGTTGGGAGATGCTTAGTACTAGAGTTTAAGATTGGTGGTCAATGTTACCAAGTCTATTTATGCCTCTCTTTCTGGATATGGCTCAAATTCATCCCCTCTCTCACACCAACTGCTAGCAAACTCAGGCTTATACCCTTCCTCTTTGACCTGGACAACCGCAACCCTCCCACCCCACCCCGAGTCCTGCCTCTCATCTTCCTAACTTCCACATGCCTTTTTATTCACGGTGCTGGAGTTTGACCTCAGGGCCTATACCTTGAGCCACTGTACCAGCCCTTTTTTTGTGATGCGTTTTCAAGATAGGGTCTCATGAACTGTTTGCCAAGGCTGGCTTTGAACTGCTATCCTCCTGATCTCTGCCTCCTGAATAGCTAGGATTACAGGCATGAGCCACTGGTGCCCATCCACATGCCATTTTTAAGAGAAAATGTGACCAACCAGGTATTTCTCTGTCTAATGTCCTCCAGCAACTGGTTCTCATGGCACTCAGAATATGGTCTGACCCTGTTGGCCTATTCTTTTCATTTGGCCACAACAAACTGATACCTTCAGGCTTTCATCTTATACTTTTCAGGTACACTCTCCCATCTTTATCTGCTTCCAGTCTAGGAACACGTGTCCATGTACATCTTCAGAGAACTATGTATATATTCATCTGTTGGTCCTCTGTATGTGAACTGGGTGTACCTGGCAACCAGGAAGTCGTATATCTTATTCATCCCTGCAATACTGATGTCTGGCACCATCAGGAACTGCAACTTTGCTGAGAGAATTAGTCAGTCACCTGTTACAAACAGAAATGTAAGCTACAAACCTCCTCAGAGCATAAGCTGGCTGGTGACAAGTCTAAGAGGAAATCATGAAACAGGTAAGAATACTGAATGCATCATACAAGGGGAACAGCCTTTCATTCTGAAAACTGGGAAGGATCCGATTAGAAATTCAAATGGTTTATTTGCATGATTCATAATCATATTTCCAACAGTGCATCATGCATCTGAGAATAACATAATTTGAGTAAAAGAAGAAACTCTTCTGGAGAGATTATCTCAAATGATCAGGCTGCTCAGATGTCTACCATGTCCAGCAGTGCAGAAAGATGGAGCTCAGAGGCAACATCCTCTTCCCTTGAACTCTGGATCAGCCTTTCCAGGTGCTTTAGCCGTTCAGTCAGAGATGTGCCTGTTGCTTCTGAGAACTTCAATTGCTCCTCTGTCCTTGCATTCTATGTGAATAAAAAAAGGAAATAGTTTTGAGATATCATAAACCATGGCCCATTCTCTGTGAAGACACTGGATCTGGTTCACGTTATCATCTGGGGTGTGTTGGGCTCAACAGACTGCCCCTCTTGACACCCATCATACATTCTTCCACCTTTTCTAATACAAAATAAGAGCCAGTATCCTCTGCACATAGACTGTAATCGCTTAACTAGACTCCCGTCTTTGGACATTCAGTTTGTTTGCACTTTTATACAGTATGATCAATGCTCCAGTGAACATTTTTGTACATTTAATCTTGTGAATATCTGGCAATTTCTTTAGGAAAAAATTAGTAAGTCAGCTAACATGAATATTTTAAAGGTATCTGCCAAACTGATAAACAATACATCATCTTAATTTGCTTCCCTCCCCTATTGAGGGGTTTCCTAAAGCCACTCTAGGAACATACTTTCATTTGTCTAAGAGCACATATCTGTGATTAATCTCTATTTCTGCTGCTTTAGCCACAGAGGAAAGGATAGTAAGGTAGAAAGACCCAGGGCTAGCAAGCATGAGGCCCTGAGTTCAAGCCCCAGTACCACAAAAAAAAAAAAAAAAAGATCCAAGGCTTTGGAGCCAGTCGAATCTGACTCTAAAAAGCAACTTTGGGCCAGGTATGATAGCATATGCCTGTCATCCTAGTACTATGGAGGCAGGGGCAGGGCCAGCCTGAGCTCCATGCTGAGACCCTCAAAATACCAAGGTCTGGAGGCATTGCTCAGTGGTAGAATGCTTGCACAGCAAGCGCAAGGTGCTGGGTTGATCCTCAGCACCATTTAAAAAAGAAAGAATAAAAAACAACTCTCTCAGGGGAAGCTTTTGACTTCTGTGGGCTTACCCTTCTCATTCATTAATTTTTCTCAGGGAAAGTTAATCCCAGAACCAAATCTGTATGATGCCAAGTACCAGACAGTTTGTATTCCACAAGCAGAAGCTGCTGTTACCCCCTTTGTTATATCCTCAATGCCCTTTCTGCACACTGACACAAGGTTAAAGGTTTTATTCAGTTCTTACTCATGTTTCAGTTCCATTTCTTGATTTATTTCACAATGGTGGGGTGTCTATGACACTGACATATGAAGTTTAAGGCCTAATTTTAATTAATATATTGGCTATTAAGACATCACATAACAAATCTAGACATTACTTTTGTTTCCCAACTCCATTCTCTCAGTCTTTAATTCTGTAAATGCCAGACAAACTCTGTTCTCACCTGTGGGCTAGCTATCGTAGATGTTTTTACCACAGATTCAATAGTCTGAGGAAAAGACACTAGTGTCTGAGGAAGGTAGAGGGGAAAGGAAGCTGCATCTGTAAATGCTCCTGAGTCTTGAGACAACCACTGCTGAAGTTGATCTTCAAACCTGAAACAGCAGGTGATCGCAAAATCAGAAACATATGAGCATTAAGAAACAAAAAGTTAGTGCTTGCTTCAGCAGCACACACACTAAAATTGGAACAATATAGAGAAGATTAGCATGGCCCCTGTGCAAGGGTAACATAAAATTCATGAAGTCTTCCATATTAAAAAAAAGAAGCAAAAAGTTTACTATCAATTACTTTATGTATATGTAATATATAAGTATATATAAATGTATATTATATATATTAAATTTTTAAAGACTTTGCTTTTTTATTAAGGTTAGAACTAAGTTATGACATTTGAAAGAGAAACAGAAATGTACTTTTAAAAAATTTAGTATCAGGGTGGTGGAGTGGCTCAAGTGGTAGAGCACTTGACTAGCAAGCATGAGGCCCTGAGTTCAAACCCCAGTATCACACACAGAAAAAAAAATGAACAATGAACAGACACTTAAAAAATGAAGGACAGGAATGTAAAATAGGTCATGTTAAGGGGAGAGCACTAGCCGCAGGGGGAGGGTAAATGAAGAGAGTGAAGGACAGTGAATATGGTTAATATACTTTCTATACATCTGGAACACTGAAACCTGTAGAACTCATTTTAAGAAGGGGTGTGAGAAAAGAGGAAGAATAATGAAGGGAATAAACCAAACCAGGGTACAATATACGTGTATAAGGAAATCGCCATAACAAAACCCCCTGTACAACTATCATATATAATAAAAACATTTTTTACTGTTTTCCGTTTCTAATTTTGATTTAGTGAGAAAGGTGGCATTAATCCCCAAAGATTGTGTCTATGCGTTACTAACATTATTTACCATTCTCTCATTTGGCTTATCTTCTGCATTTGACTGATCTCTCAATAGGTTATCTCAATGTGTAAATTACTAATTCAAAATAATATTACAAAAATAATAATATTCCACAGCCACCTAATACACTCCAGAATTACCTCCATACACTGATCTTTTCAAGAAAAATAATTTGCAGTCAGGTATAGTGGCACACATCTGTAGAGACTAAGGTGGGAGGATGACTTCAGCTCAGGAGTATGAGCCCAGCCTGGGCAACAGAGACCCCATGAGAACAACAACAACAAAAGGCTATACACATACATATGGGCTAGAGGTGTAGCTCAGCGTTAGAGTGCTTCCCTCAAAAACCACTGAAGAGGCCAAGTGTGCTGGTGGATGCCTATAATCCCAGGTACTCAGGAGGCAGAGGTCAATCCAGGCAAAAAGTTAGCAAGACCCCATCTTAACCAACAAGCCAGGTATGGTGGTGCATGTCTGCAGTCTAAGCTATTGGGAGGCAAAGGGAAGAGGACTGCATTCAGGGCCAGCTGTAGGCAAAAACACAGACCCAATCAAGAAAACTAAAGCAAAAAAGGGATGTAGATGTGGTTTAAGAAGTAGTAAAGCACCTACCTAGCAAGCATGAGGCTCTGAGTTCAAACCCCAGTACTGCCAAAAATCAAAATAAAACAAAACCCCACAAATTACACGCACAGACATAGGTAGGCTTTTTGGAAATGAATTCATTTACCCTTTCACCAAATGAGAGGTGCCATTCCAACGACCAGTATTACATCACTGAAACTAAACAGACAAGGCCCAACACAAGCATCTTGCACTTTAGTAAGGAGAGACAGACAAGGAATGTCTAATAGTATGAAGATGAGAAAGAAACAGGGAGGATGGGTGCAAGCAGATAGCCTAACACAGAAGCAGATGTTTGAGCAGAGACCTGGAGTGTTCGTGAGGTCAACCCTGGGAGAGAGCAGAGTGGTAGGGACTCCCAAGTAAGAAGAATAGCAAACCCAGAGATCAGAGAGGAAATGTGGACAAATCATACAGCACCTGGGCCATCTTCTACGATTTTCCTTTGAATCCGTATGAAAGAGGAAGCAACTGAAAAGCTGTGAGCAAAGAAGTAACATGGCCTCTGTTTTATACCTGAAAGATGCCCACTGTTCAGCTGAGACTATAGCCTACTGCAGTAATCCACAAGGAAGCTATCAGAAGCTTTGGTCAGATGGTACCCATGGTAGTCATAATGGTTCAATTCTGAGTATTTTCAGTACAGTCAATAGGATTTGTGGATAGTCAGGATGTTGGGAGATGATTTGAAGCATTTGTCCAGTGGCTAAAGGGATGGAGTTACCATTAACAGAGAAGGATATTGAGGAGGGGATGGTTGAGGGAAAATTGGGACTTGGATATGGTATATATTAACTTTGCAGTGGGTATTAGACATTGGTTGATTTCTAATGAAGACTGTAAGAAGCAGTAGGATGCTTGGAGTTTGGAGGACTCAGATATAAATTTGGAGTTGTCAGAATATTGATATTATTTAAAAATCCATAAAAGCATAGAGTGCATGTGCAGATGATGCAGAGATGAGCCAGCTAGGAGGGGGGGTGTCGTGGGGGCTGAGGAAGAACCAGCAGGGAGGTTCTGAAAGGGAACTAGGGGCATCCTAGGAGAAAAGAGGGAAGAGACAAGGTGTGGACTGCTGTCAGGGATGGGGAATATGGCCACATCTGAGTGTGTGCAAGCTGCCTAAGAGTGGAAAGAGGGATGGAGAGGTGCCATAGGTATTTTTGAGGAGCTTTACTGTTATGGGAGCAAAAGCATGGATGGTGACTAGAGGGGCAAAAGGGGGCCATGATGGGGAAGTGCCAGTTCGTCTTCATTGTATGCTGATGGGCATGATCTAGTAGAGGAGAGGGCAGTAACTCAAGAGAAGGTGCCCACTGGCTGAGTGCCTTTGAGTGAGTGGGAGATGAGATCCTAGCCCAAAGGGAGGCCTGACCTTGACTACAGCAAGGTCAGCAACAAGAGGGGACAGAAAGGAAGAGCTGGGCACAAGGAGGCTGCTCTATGAACTGGGCAAGATGGTGGAGTTGGGAGGATAACTTGTGCAAACTCTCTTCTTTCCAGTTCTGTTTCTCAGTAAAACTGTAAACAAGGCCATCAAGGGAAGGTGTGCAACAGAGTGAGTGAGGCAGAGAGGAGGGCCAGCACCAGCTCCTGCCCATCCAGTACGGGACAATCCATCAAAGCCTCAGGCTAACCAAGGGCAGAAAGCCAGTGGCCAGCCACAATTTAGCACTCACCTTCCTCTAGTACACTTAGCCATACACATCTCCCACTAAAAAACTTAACACAGACTTTCAATAATAAACAATCAATGAAGCCAATTTCCAAAATAATAAAATTTAGAAGCATAATATCTAGGACACAGCCTGTCTTCCAAGAGCTTATAATTTACAAGTGTTGGACTCTGATTTTTTTTTTTTGGTGGAAATGGGAGGTTGAACTCAGGGCTTTTCACTTACGAAGCAGGCCCTCTACTGCTTGACCCACACCTCCACCCTCTGCCTTCTTTTTAAAACAAAGTCTCATCACAATAACCCTTGAAAACCCATTGCCTTTCTCCACCCTGGCTTGACTCAACTGAGCAACACACCTGCATGGGAAGGGAAAGGATTTTACCTCTTGTTCTCCTCTTTCTCCAGCAGCAGACTGTTGGACAGACACTGCACCAGGAGCTCCTCTGCTGAAGCTCCTCTCATCAGATCCTCTGCACTGAGACTCCCCTCTCGGCCCCATTCTGCATTTCTCTTCCCTTTATGGTGCAGATGAAGCAACGGAGTAGGAAAATTGCTTGCAGAAGGATGAAAAGACTTTATCCCCAAACTGTAAGTACATGTTTTAGAGTGTTTATGGTCAGAAAAAAAGAGAGGATTCCTACAGCATCATGTGATGCACAGGGACACAGTTACACATATGTGTTCACCCTAAGTACACACACACACATCAAGCCTGCATGTCCTCCTGGGATGGCTCATGCTCATGTCAGTTCCATGACTGCTTCCTGGCTTCCCTCAAAAATCAGGGAATGCATCCCTTATACTGTATGGTGATCCTCATGCACAGCAGCATCAAGATACACTGTCCACTGATTTCAGATGCTTCCACTCTAGGGAGGCAGCTGGGCTCTCAGGTGTTCTCTACTCCAGGCCTTACTTCTCATCCCAGGGTTAAAAACAGATCCTCTATTCTCCCCACCCCACCCCAGCCCCAATATTGCCAACATTGTTATTCTTCACATTTAGCTCTTGAATCCACCTGGAAGTAATGTTAGTATATGGTGGAAGACGGAATCTAATGTATTTTTTTCTAAACAGATGCCAGTGTCTGTCCTTTCCAAGTAATTTCACTAATTTAGCATGGCACTCTTGTCACACAGCACAGTACTATTTCTGGGCTTTCTATTTTGATCCATTCATCTGTTCAGTATACCCACATGGCTTTAAGTGCTATAGCTTTAGTATGTTTTTGACATCAGACCAGGTGGACTTTCTGCGGCATTCAAAATTTTCTTGGCAATTATTGCACATTTTCTTATGCTGATGAATTTTAGAATCAATTTGTCAATATCAGAGGGAAAATCCTACTAGGTTTTTCATTAGAAATGCCCTGAGTTTTTATGGTTTGAGAACTGATGTATTTCCTGCTGTGTTATCTTCCTATTGACAAAGCTAGCCTGCACCTCATTTAGTCAGCTTCTTTTGCATATTGAGGACCCCAAGCACTCCCTTGACAGGGGCTTAGAACTCTCCTTGTCCACTCATGCCCATACGTTATGGGTTTATGTTGTGAAAACTTTTTTATAGGTTGTAGGTTATTACCCAGTTTCTTTGCTGAACTGACAGTTGTACTGTCTGGAAATGACAGTCTTCCTTTTGATATATATATATATATATATACCTACCCATGTCCTTGCAATGGTCAGGACTTCCAGGACAACAGGCAATAGTAGTGACAACAGAGGCAACAAAGTCTGGTTCTGGTTTCAGGTGTCTCTAATGTTTCATCAAGAAGCATGTTTTCTTTCTTTCTTTCTTTCTTTTTTGGTAGCTTTATGGTAGGTAGCCTTATCAAATTAAAAACATTTTTTCTACCCAAACTTGACAATAAATTTTATCAGGAATAAATATTTTTAAAAATGCATTTTGCACCAGCGGCTTACACCTGTAATACTAGCAATAGAGCATCTGCTTTGCAAGCACAAAGCCCTAGGTTCAAACCCCAGTCCCATCAAAAAGAAATGCACTTTAATGTCTACTGAAATGACCACTTGCTTTTCTATTGTAAATTACAACAGATTTCTACTATTTATCCTGGGAGAAAACCTACTTGGAAATTTTTTAGGTTTTACAAGATCGTGTGTGCTAAAACATCACTTAGTTTGTAAGTGAAATACGATGCTAGCTTCTGTCTGCTTTCCCCCAGCTGGCTATGACTTCAGAGTCAACCCCATTTGATAAATGAAGGGAGACATCCTTAACTTTTATTAAACAGTTTCTACCATGTGAAATGAATGATCTGTGCCTTGGGGGTTTGTCAAAAATTGGCCCACCAGGGGCTGGATTAAATGTACCAGATGTTAATTTCCAGTCCTTACTTTTGGGGGTTGGGGATTTAGCTCAGTGGAAGAGTGCTTGCCTGGCAAGTGCAAGATCCTGAGTTTGGTCCCCAGCACCGAAAAAAAAAAAAAAGGAAAAATGGCAACTCCAGTCCTTACTTTTGGATGAAAACATGGCTTAGTACAGTAACAGAAACACACACTAAACATGAACCTCACCGTCCCTGACTCAGCTGTAGCTCCTTCTGGGTCTGCACTCTGGCTTGTTCCCACGACAAAGGAACATCATATTTCTTCAAATGATGTTTAAAAAAATATACACATATCTGACCATCTTCACTCAGTGCCTCTGAGAAAACAATATAAAAATAGATAAAAAACATCAAAAGAGCAACAGTTGGCCACTTGACATCTGCTTAAACTAACTGATCTAAGGACAAGCCTTCTGACTAATGTGACTTCCATGCTTGAGCTGGATATGCCCAAGTATCTGCAGGTTGCTCACCATCTAGGCAGGCTTACATCCAAACCATGGCAGGGCCAGGAATGACTCAGAACCACAGCATACTCTCTGACAGCCAGTGTGGAAGGCCCATTCAAGGAGGGGAATCCAGGCTCTTCTTATCTCTCCCCAATATTCACAAGTCACCTACAACTCACTGGCCTCAGAGGGAAGTTCTAAGGAAAGGAAGCATGGAATCCAAGCAAAAAGGAACCTCTTGTTGCTAAAAGTGGACCAGAGAAGTCTTACAAGGACATGGTTTCCCAGAACCAAGTTTCAACTACCTGATGTGAGAGGAAGCCGGGGGGGTGTCCAGTCCCTCAACTTGTGATTGATGCACAAGGAGATGATATCATCCCATGGAACTTGGGCAACTGAGGGCCCTGCCTCCTGGCCCAGGGAGGGGCTCTTGCTCTTCCACCTACAATACGTTTTGTGAAGCAGGCTCTCCACTTGGGACTGGAGGACAGGCTGTGTCTGGCGTGAGCTGGGGATCTGAGAGGCGTACTGAATGATCATGGAGCACATGGGAAGCCAGGGCGCTAAAGAGAAAGAAAGCACCTCATTGGTTATGGGTTTGACCAAAGAACAGGTGAAAATGTACATTAATTTTTTTCCCTTGGTTTTCTGAGAGAGGGTCTCAATAGCTATCCCAGACTGTCCTCAAATGTGTGATCCTCCTCCCTATCTCCCTAGAGCTGGTATTACAGGCACCCACCACCGAGCCTAGCTAAAAATGTTCTTAACACTCTTTATTTCTGTAGGAGAGAGTGACTGTATAGTTGAGAAGTCTGTTCTCAGATGTGAATTTAGCAGACCCACAGCTGCTGAGAGAAGAGCAGCTCATTCCCCAGCTGGCTATGGCCAGCCCTCCACTCCTTTCTCCTTTCTCAGCACATACCCCCTTGGGGTGGAAGGTCCATCTCTGGAAGCTGGAACCCAAGCACAGCCTGCTTTAGCCAGGCCAGGTGCTCTGGGGAGTTCCAGTGCAGGTGAGGAAGCAGCTGACTGCCCCCTGCCTCAGCAAACTCGGTGATAGGCCAGGACAGGTCACACAGCTGCTCAGAGGACACCACGGAGGCCAGGAACTGCAGCACACTATTGAAGAGCTCAACAATGGCACTGGGCTCCTGGGAAGACAGGAGGCCCAGGCGCCTCTCTCTTCTGTCATGGAAAAACCGGCCACTAAACTCACGGCCAACCCCATCTTCCACGTACTGAATAAGGGTCTGACAGCAAAGGTCAAGGGCATTGGGGCAGTGGGAGACCAGCCACTGTACTGCCCAAGAAACCTAAGGAACAAAGACAGGAGAGATGTGGTCAAATGATTCACACTGATTTTTTTTTTTTTTTTTTCTTTGTGGTACTGGGGCTTGAACTGGGACCTATACCTTGAGCCACTCTACCAGCCCATTTTGTAACGGGTTTTTGTTTTTTTTTTTAATAGTTGAGGAAATGTCTTTTTTTTTTATTGTTTTATTATTCATATGTGCATACAATGCTTGGGTCATTTCTCCCCCCGCCCCCACCCCCTCCCTGTAATGGGTTTTTAAAAATAGGGGTTCTCGAACTATTTGCCCGGCTGGCTTTGAACCGTGATCCTCCTGATCTCTGCCTCCTGAGTAGCTAGGATTACACGCACGAGCCACTGGTGCCTGGCTTACGCTGATTTTCAAAAGTAGTTTTCTAAAAGGGCTTGGAACTCTTCCCATGGCTGCTGGGGACAGGTGCCACCAAAGCATTAGGCTCTCAGTCACAGCAGAAAGAGAGGCACAAACCCCCTCTGTAGTTGTGTTTGGCTTTCTAGAACCCTATACACACCTGGAGGGGTACCAGATAGGGGCCCAAGAGTCCCAGCCAAGTCAGGAATGGCCCTGCATAATCCCCTGTGGAGTGGCCCAGGACCTCAGGAAAACAACCTTCCTTACCATCCTAAGAAACAGAGCCAATCTTCCCATTCCAGGACTAGGGGCTTCACTGTATGAGGAATGCCTCACAGCCTGCAGTTATCTCTCTTCCTGTAGTTACTGTTTTTATATGGGAATAGAACCCAGGGCCTCAGACATAATGCGAAAGTGCTCTACCACTGAGCACCCCAGGCCCTATTACTTCTCCTGCCATCTCTTTCCCTAAATGTAACTGTCAACACAAACTTTTCTTTTAAGGAAATCTCAGTATTCTTTACACATTATAAGGATACCACCATATAAAATTAATTTAAATAAATCTGGCATTCAGTTGTAAGATAGTTATTGTAAATTCATAAAAACAAAATTAAAAATTTAACATGAACAATTTGTTGCTGATAGAACTATGGGAAAATTTTATCTTTTATTATTTTGTTTCTACCTTTAGAAAGTATCTGTATAAAACACAAAATTAAAATTGAAAGGAGCAATCTATACAAAATTCAAGATAGATCAGAAGGGGAAAAACTAAAATATTTTGTTGGACCTTTAACAATAATGAATTCTTACCTTCATCGTGCCTTGTAAATCATTAATAGAATCAGGGATCTCAATAACAGTGTAATCTGAAATCAGCTTGGCTGAAACCAAATCCTGCAGCATCAGATCTTTAAGAGAAGCAGAGGAAGTCACATGTGATTACACTCACTGGCACATCTGAGGCCTCCAGTGCTGATCCCACCCTGCCCCACACCATAGCAGATAGGCAACAGTGGGGCTTTGGTTCCAAGGGTTCCCAACACTGCACTGCCTGCCTTTCCCTTCCTCAGACCCACAGCTCCACCCATTTCATAACAAGGCTGGTTCATAAATGAAACTTCCTTTACAAACCATTCTCCACTTCTTTTCCGACGGCATCCCCTCTAGAGCTGGGAACAAGAACCACCAGTGGAAGGGCAGGTTGGAAAGGTTTGGCCTGCAGGAGCTGCTTGAGCTGCAGCAAAGCTGACAGCCTATACACGTCCTCTTCTGCCAGGTCCTCACTCTTCACTTGGGGAGGGAGTAGCAGCATGAGCCCACTGGCTCCCAAGAGGTCCTTCTGGTTCTCCACAGCATCCAGGGCACCATCACTGAAGGTGCCATGGACCACCTGCAACAGCACCCGGGGATGAGCCAGCAGTAAACAGTCTGTCCCAGAGCAAGAGCAGCCAAAGTACTCCATGCACCAGATGTTCACTGCTTTTTGTACAGATTTCCAAGTACACAGCTAGATGATCCTCCATCAGTAAGACCATGAATTAGTAAGAAACAGTCTGGTCAACAGATTATTTAGCCTCCACTAGAATGGTGTTCAACCAAATTATAGTAATCTTAGCAATGAACGTTGAACAAGTATAAAAACAGGTATGGTCAGGCAGCCTCAGGGAAAGTATCTGAGAAGAGCCTCCAACATAAAAGAGACCCAGAGGAAACAGATGGCACTAAGAACATACAGACACTGAGATCCAAAAGCCCTACCTTTCTCAAAGAGAGAAAATGATAAATCCAGTAATAAATGTTATAACAAGGAAGTCTTCCAGAATGCAGTATAAAGAGACTAGATAGTAAATAGGATAGAAAGACTATGAAGCTCAGAGGACCAACTGATGAGGACCAACGTCTGTCTAGTAGGGTCTCAAGAGAAAAAAGAGAAGGAAAGCAGGTGTCATAAAGATATAAAACTGTCACAGAAGTGAAACAGGAGTTCTCCAAGTCAGGCATGGTGGTGCATACATGTAATCGCAACTACTCAGGGCGGAGGCAGGAAGATTGTGAGTTTGAGACCAGCCTGGGCAACTTAGCTAGACCCTGTCTCAAAATAAAATTTTTAAAGTGCATATGCCTAGCAAGTATGAGGCCCAGGTACACAAAGAAAAAGTTTCCAGTATGTGGCCCCAGTAAGACCTCACATCAAGTTAAGTCTGGCACCAGCTGTATCAAAGACAATTTTCAGACAGAGAAACAAAATGAAGCATCAGAGGAAAGAGCAAGAATCATCTCAGACATCTCAACAGCAACAGTGGATGCTTAGGTGACAGTGGAGCAAAACTGGGAGGAAAATAATGTTCCCTTTATAATTGTACAAAATTAGCTAAACTAGGAAACATATGAGAAGATAAAATAAGTGCATTTTCAGAAAGGAAAGGATTCAGAAAATTTTCCTGTGCATCCTTCCTTCAGAAGCAACTAGAAGACATACACTATCAGACAAGGGACTAAACCAAGAAAAAGTATCATTGTCACTGCTAATGGCAACACTTAGTAAGCTCCTGATACCTGCCAGACACTGTTCTAAGTGCTCTGTTTCCACAAACTCATCTCATCCTCAAGGGTCTAATGAGCATAGCCACCACACAGTAGCTGCACAGTCTTGGGCAATTTAATTTTTCAGAATGAAACAGAGAAAAGAATACCTGTAAGTGTATGCCAAAGTGGCAGAGAGACACTAACGAACTTGCCCAAGTAAATAAAAATGGACATACTGTTTTCATTTATGAACGCATATGATGAGACGTAGAATCCATTAATGCAGGTTTCAACCTAATGAGGAAAATAAATTCTCATAAAACTTCCCAGAGAGCAATTAAGCTCAGTACTATATGAACACCTACAAAGAACAAAAATTAGAGTTTTTAATAAAAAACTAGGACCAGGACAGACAGTGTGGCTCAAGCAGTAGAGAGCTTGTGTTGCAAGCATGAAGCCCTGTGTTCTAAGCCCCCAGTCCCACCAAAAAACCAAAAATACAAAACAAAAAACTGGGGCCAATTTGAATGTAAAACAAAAACTACACTGAACCTATTCACTAGCCTGGACATGATATGGTAAAAAAATGCATAGGATTAAACACCAGTTAGTCCTTTGGTAAAACCTAATGTGTCAGGAAGCTATTTTAGTATTTTAACAAAGACATCAGCAAATCATATGAGATTTAACAGTTAATACATTTTGTGAAACTGTGAGTTCAGGGCTTCTGAATTATGTGCACAACATCACAGGTGAGGTGAGGCTGGGGACATAGATCAGTGGTACAGTGTTTGACTAGTATGCAGACTCTGCATTCACTCCCTAGGCGGGGTATGGGGGGGGGATACACCTCAGATCAGAAGTGCACACATTCATTTCTCAGGATGGTTCTGGGTTTGCAACAAGTTCTCAAAGAGGTCTGTGGTCAAGGCTCACTGCTTGCTGTTGTTTGGAACTTGAATGTCAGCCAAAGGCCCATGTGTTAAAGGCTTGATCCCCAATTTGGCACTATTGGGAGGAACATTAGAGAGATGTGGCCTAGCAGAGACTTTAGGTCATCAGAAGTATGCCCTTCAAAGGGACTGTAGGATCCCAGCCCTCTTCTCTTCCATTCCCTAGTCATAAGGTGAGAAGTTTTGCTCTGACACTTGCTTGCAGCCATGTGCTGCCTCACAACAGGCCCAAAAACAAGGAGGTCAACCAGTTGTAGACTGAAATGTGAAAACTGTGAGAAAAAAGGTAAACCTTTTCATAAGTTAATCATTCAGGTATTTATTACAGTAACAGAAAACTAACACATTGCTGCTCTATTGGAGTCCAACCTGGAGCCTTATACCAAATAAGTGTCTAGAGGATGTCATCAAGATGAAAGAAAGGGGTGGTAGTGTGGCTCAAATGGTAAAAGCACCTGCCTAGCAAGTGTGAGGCACTGAGTTCAAACCCCAGTACCACCAAAAAAGTAAGAAGATACAAGAAAGGACAAACATGACACTTGCTTCTGAGCCTCTTATGGTCTTTCAAAACCATTTTAGAGAATAAATAGTATTTATATAATTCCAGTGTTATTCAAGAGTAAGTGAAAATAATGCCGTCAGGGAGGTAAATAAATGAAGTGACTGTCACTCACCTTTATACACACATTGACAGAAATTGTCTGATCTCCTTTGCTGCTGAGCACGTTGGAAATTCTAAGTGTCTGCATCTCACCAGCATTACTACATGTGTCATCTACCAAGGCATCATCACCCATGAACTTGACCTTCAGCCAATTTGCTAGAATTCTGTAGATAAAAGAAAATAGCACCTGAAGCATCTAATTCTAAATTTGAACTATAAAGATTTTCAAAGCTGGGTGCTGGCAGCTCGCACCTGCAATCCTAGTTACAAAAAAATCTCCCTGGACTTTAAAATACTTATTTTACAGAATCAAATTCCTCATGCCTGAGACTTCAAGAATTCCTAAGTGACATACATTTCCTAATGAACTTTTTAGCATATCAAAAGATAGCTGTTTTAGCCTGGTGCAAGTGGCTCACACCTATAATCCTAGCTACTTCTCAGTTTGAGGCCAGCCTAGGTAAATAGTTTGTAAGACCCTATCTCCAAAATAACCAGAGCAAAATGGACTGGAGGTGTGGCTCAAGCAGTGGAGTTCCTACTTCACAAGTGCAAAGCCCTGAGTTCAAACCCCATTCCCATAAAAAAAAAAAAAAAAAAAAAAAGATAGAGGGGTGGTTTTAAGAAATGAATCACTACAAGGAGGAATCCTCAGGGCTGGCAGAGTGGCTCAAGCAGTGGAGTGCCTGCCTAGCAAGTGTGAAGCCCTGCATTCAAACCCCAGAACTGACCCCCCCCCCCAGCAAAAAATAATGAAACCTGTTGAAATTGTTTGGGGAGGGGATAAATGAGAATGGAGGGGATGAATTCAACTATGATATATTGTAAGAACTTTGATAAATATCACAATGTACACCCAGTACAACAATAATCTGAAAAAAGTGTTCTAAGAAGGGGAGAAGTGATGAGAAGGGAGAAAGATGGAGGGAGTAAATCTAACCTAAATACATTGTAAGCACATAGGTAAATATTACAATATATCTCCTGTAACAACTATTATATGCTAATTTAAAAAAAAAGAAAATGATATGAATGATACAAAGTAGTATCAAAGAGAACACCTGGGGCTGGGGATATAGCTCAGTGGTTTAGTGTTTGCCTCTCATGCATTAGGCCCTGAGTTCAATCCCCAGTTCCAAAAAAAAAAAGAGAGAACACCTGACTCAGCTTTGGGAAAACAAGGAAGACTTCTTGGAGGATCTGATGACTAGATTTGGTCTTAAAAGAGCTCGGTGGTACAGCGCTTGCCTAGCATGCGTGAAGCCCTGGGTTCGATCCCAGCACCAAAAAAGAAAAGACGAAAAAAAAAAAAAAAACCTCTCCCCAAGGCGAGGCCCTGAGTTCAAACCCCAGTGCCACAAAAAAAGAGAAGTGCAGATTAAACAAATGAGAAAAAAAATTTTAAAAAGCTGGTACCACCAAGCTGGGCATGGTGCTGTACCCCTGCAATCCCAGCATTGAGGCTAAGGCAGGAGGATGGAGAGTTCAAAGCCAGCCTGGGCTACACAGCAACACCATGTCATAAATAATAACAACAAAATAACAATAAATATGTGAGTTATCATTTAAATACTTGTAAAATGCCACAACTCTCTTCATTGTTCAGCTGTCCTATGAGAAGAACCTCATCACTTCCTCTTTCATTTTCCTTAACCTGCATATATCCCAATATTAAATGCTTCAGAAGTAATGTGTTCTGAGAACCTGGAGCCCTCCTACATCACTGGCAGACATATAAAACAGTGCAGCCACTGTGGAAACAGTTTAACAGTTACTCAAAGACATACATAGAGTTATCACACAATCTAGTGATTCCATTCCTAGGTATCTAAGAAGATTATAAACATAGGTCTACACAAATTCTTATATATGATTGCTCCTAGCAGCCTTATAATAGCCAAACCATGGAAACGAGCTAAAATAATGAGATAACCCAAATGCCTATCAATAAACAGATAAATAAAATATGGTGCATTCATACATGCTTCAACATGGATGAGCCCAGAAAACATGATCCCATTTATATAACATGTCTGGCTTAGCAAATCATAGAAACAGGAAGCAGATTAGTAGTTGCCAGGAACTGCTGATGGAAATGGGGCTTCTGTTTAGGAGGAAAAGTATTTTACTCATTTACTTTTTTTGGTGGAACTGGGGTTAGAATTTAGGGCTTCGTGCCTGCAAAGCAAACACTCTACTGCTTAAGCCTATCTCCAATACATTTTGCTGTGGTTATTTTGGAGATGGAGTCTCACAAATTATTTGTCTAGGCTGGCCTCTAACCACAATCCTCCTGATCTCAGCCTCCCAAGCAGCTAGGATTATAGGAGTGAGCCACGGGAGCCCAGCTTGGAAAAAGTATTTTAGAATTAAGAGACTGGCAATGATGTGAAAACCCGTGAATATAACTTATGACTATAACCTGTGAATCACTAAAATTACACTTAAAATGGGTGAAACTTAAGGTACATGGATTTCATTTCAGTAAAGCTATTAAAAAAGTAACTTCAATTGCTTTAAAATTATGATTTCTGAAAGCTATTTAGTTACAGGAAGTAATGCCATGTCTTTTTTTTTTTTTTTTGAAATCCCAAAAGTCTTTCCCTAAGGGGGAAAAAAGGTACTACAGATAGCAAAGAAAAACTTACCTTCCCCAAGAGTCTGGAGTCTAAAATGAAGTAGACTAATTGGAATGCCTTAGCATAGTTTTAAATAACACCCAACTTTTCAATACTTTTGGACTAAGACTATTGGTAAGTATATGGAATAAAAGTTAAGATAATTCAATGTAAACTATAAACTTTAGGGTTGTGGATGTAGCTCAGTGGTACAGGGCTTGACTAGCATGCACAAGAGCCTCAGTTTGATCTCCAGTAGTGCAAGGGAACAAAACTTCTTGCTAGGTGTGGTGGCTCACACCTATATCCTAGGTACTTGGGAGGCAAAGAATAGGAGGATTGAGGTTTAAGGCCAGCCCAGACAAAAAAGTTCAAGAGACCCATCTCAACCAACAGCTGGGTGCAGTGATTGCACACCTGTCATCCAGCCATGCAGGAAGCACAAATAGGAGGATCACAATCCAGGTTGGCCAAGACATAAAGTGAGACCCTATCTCAAAGCAAAAAAGGGCTGGGGGTGTGGCTCAATGGAAGAGTGCCTGCCTAGCAAGCATGAGGCCCTGAGTTCAACCCCAGTACTGCCCCTCCGCACCAAAAGAAGCCCTTCTTCTCTGAAGTGCTAATTTTACATCATGAGCAAAACAGACCGCAAGTTTAAGCACTAAAACATAAACCTATGCTTCAGGGTTCCCAGCACATACGAGAGGAACATCCTCACCCAGACCCATGGTTCCACCTGCCCCAGGTTCTCAAGGGAGCCACTCTAAACCAGCATTCACACCCTGAGGATGGAAACCCTCTCTGACCTTCCAGGAGTGCCTGGGAACTGCTCTTCTCCATCAGGCAACACCAGCACCAGTTTCCAAAATACACGCTCCCGCCTCAAAGGGAGGTGCTCAGCCACAAAGGATGGCAGGTCAAGAGGTGCCCACGCAGCCGTGCTGGAAGAGACAGACCACTGTGGGTGAGCCAGTGTGTGAGCTCCCAAGCAGGAGCAGTACACATGGCAGGGCTGACAGACCTGAGCAGCTGATGGTGAAAGTGCTGAACCTTCATCTGGTGAGCCGTCTTGTTTCTGAGCCGCCTCAGCCTACAAAGAAAGGGAGAGTGACACTAGGCCTATAGGGGCTTGATCATATTGACTGATGTTTCTGAGTGAAAAGCAATTAGCTGGTGTCTCCTGGTGGGAAATACATAGAAGACTGAGAAAACATTTTCTGGCAAACAGATCAGAGAACCCCTTCATTTCACAAATATCTATTAACTATCCACTGTGTGCTGGCCATGGGAGATTGAGCAATAGAGACAAAAGCCCTGCCCTTCTAGAACATGCTCTCATGAAAAAGAACAGCTTCTGTACTGGCTGGTATGGGTTGCAGGACATGTCAGTGTTGTGGGCAACTATGGCAGGGTGAAATGTGACCAAATGCCTAAGGAAATAGGGCAGCCAACATAAAGATTTCTAGTGGTGGCAGGGGATGGGGATGACCACATGTACACCAGGCCTGGCATGTTTGGGAGAGCAATGAGGGGCAGCCAAGAAGTGGGGGTTTGTCTATGTGTGTAAAGACTTGGGGCATAGCATGGGAACATGTTGCAACCAGATGGGGTGTCAGAAGACCTCTGCCCTCGAGATGGAGGACACTGGCTACTACAGCCACAATCCAGGGAGAAGTACTGGCAAAAATGGAGAAAACTGATCAGGCCCTACGTACATTCTGAGGATAGTCTATAGAAGTGTATGTGTGACGTGACCCTCTTATAACTTATGATCTAACAGAATGGCATCCTATGAGCAGGAAGGGCAGCCTGGGGAAGAATAGGTTCAGAGGCTGTCTGGGAAGTGGATAGAATCTGGAACAATGGAAAGAAGAACCTGGCTGCTGATGCAAATCAGGGAAGTTGTCAGTGTGACAAATGGAGAGAGGTCACTAGGGATGGGGAAGAAGGTATAATAGGGCGGGGATGGGCTAAGAAAGCTGGGGGTGATGGTAGAAAAGGGGACTACAGGTAGTGGGGGGGCAGTTAAAGACAGTAAGTTGTGACTCCAGGCTCCAGGAGTCTATGCCATGTGCTATAGCAACCATAGCTCAGAAAAAGTGCCCCAACCCCTGAGCTCACAGCATGTCCTGTAACAGCTAGACTATCACCCCCATTTACAGACGCAGAGATAAACATGAGATCTGATAGGTCAGATGAAACCCATGGAGATGATGCTCAAAGAAAACATCCTTGACTACCAGGAGGAAGAAAAACACGACCCCTGCATGGTGTACCTCCTGTGGCCACGTTGCTTCCCCAGGGCCTGCCCACTGGGAGGCAGGGTGGCCTTGAAAGCCCCTCACAAAGGGGGCCCACTGACAACGAGCCTGAAGAAGAAAGGCCAAGCTCATCATGTCCATGTCTAGACAATTTGGGTCCCCAAAACTAGACATGTTCAGGGAGAATAGGAGGACCAACAGGAAGGACCTCACTGAGGGAGACATTGACAAGTGACACAGGAGACAGAAGATGGGGAGGGAAGAAAGCACAGCAGAAGCAGAGTATCTGAAAGCAGAGGGTTGGGGTGGACCTCTGGCTTCACCAATAAGGATGGACATGGCATGTACTTAAACTGGGAAGACCAGAAGAAGAACAGGTGATTCTAAGTCAGAGTCTACCACCAAGACCTAAGTCTTCCAATATGGGAAAAGTCATGTGAAATCAGAGCCCCGTTTCCCAGAGGTGGAGCAAATCATATATCCATGACCATGGAAAAGACAACCTTCAAAAGGCAGTCCTAGAGCTGAGGGGCATGGCTCAAGTGGTAGAGCACTTGACTAGCATGCACAAGACCTTGAGTCCAAACCACAGTAATGCCAAAAAACAAAAGAGTAAAACACAGTCCTGCCCCTGCCCTCACTTTCCAACTCCACCCATCTTCCCCCACAAATATACTGTCTAACTCTTGGTGAAACCAAGTCAGGCAGGGAGCCCTGAGGAGACACAGATGAGCACTGACCTGGTGCAGGAGATGCCTACTTTCCCTGCATGGCCCAGGTCCAGGAGGCCCTTGGCCAGGTTCTCCTCAGCAATGGGGCACTCTGCACTGGGTGCCAGTGCCCGCAACCTATCATTCACGTTCACACAGCAGGGTGCTGCAGGGAAGGCCCGCATCTGGCGCCTGAGTTTCTTCCGGGCTGCAACAGCTTCCCTCCACCTGGAGGACATGCCAACATATATCATTAATGGGTATGTTCAAGGCTCATGCCAGGGGAAAAATTCAAACAGTCCATGGGGAAATGTGGCATCTGGCAATCTGTTTAGGTTCTTTCCAGCAACAGTCCTTAAACTGAGAAACAAACAGGTGGTGAGTATTGAAACTACTGAGTTTAAAAGCTGACTCTGAACAATCTCTGAAAGACAATTTGGCAAATTTAAGATACACAGATTCCTTGACCCAGCAAACACCACTGACCGAAATGCATCTTCTAATAACATGCAAGTGTGCAGGCATGTGAAATGTCAGTATGAGGGAGTCACAGCAGCATTGTCATAACTGCAGAGAGAGCTATGTGAAAGTCTGTCAACAGGGGACCAAGGTCGTTTATGGTACACACTCATGACATGCCACACTGCCACTGATAATAACAAGAAGAGCCTGACATGTTACAATGGTTGGGCCTCCAGCTCCTATCAGGTGGAGTAAAGAAATGTTTAGATTATGTAAGGAATATGCTCTACTGACAACCACAAAAAAAAAGAACAAGAAGTTTCTACAAGCAACTGTTACTTCTGAGGAATGGACAATGGTTTGATCTGGAAGAGATACTCTCAACTGTGTTCCTTTTGACACTGTTGCTATTATCAAAGCTGCTATCTTAATCCCTTTACAACATACATAACACAAAAATGCCCAGATTAAACAATAACTCATACACCCATGCGCTTCCATCCTTCTGAGAAATCATGGCTGTGACCAGTACCCTCCCTTGCTCCCAAGTAACCACTATGCTGAGTTTATGTTCATATTTCCTTCTTTAGGGTTACATAGCTACATATAAATCTGAAACAATCTAGTTAGTTTGAATATGCACTATTTGCATATATTTCCCTAATTGCTTTTTTCTCCATTATGGAGGGACTCCAACATGATAATTCAACTTATAATTTTTTCATCTTTATATAGTGCAAATATATTAAGAATTAAGTAGAAATACATCTTTGAATTTTGATCCCCTATACTAGTGAAATGCTATACAATACTCTCTCAACATCATTAGAGCTGCAGCTCTCAGTGAGCCAGACATGAAATTACGAAGGTAAACAATACTCCATAGTGTACTATGTTGCTAAGCTATGATATTGAGTAGGTTAGGTGTATTAAATGCATTTTTAACTTACAGATTTATTGGGAAGTAACTACACTGTAAGTCAAAAAGTATCTGTACTTATTTTTTCGAAATTCATCAGTGTTGGTGTATGCAGCCATAATTTGATATGTTCACAGACATCTCCCTATATCTAATGCAGCTGATAAAACAGCACTATAAATAATTGTTGAAACCCTAGAAATTTTTGTTGAAACACAGAACAGCTAACACCCCTCAACCAAATTTTTCTTGAAGTATAATCTACTTTGTGTAGAGTTCATTATAGATATCCATTGCTATAAAATGTTCTGCTCTTCTGTAATCATTGACTAAAAGAACTGATGGCTCATATATGTTGAATTTGTTAAGACTTCTCTGTAAAGGTTTTTTTGTTTTGGGCCTTGCCTACCACTTGAGCCATAGCACAGCCTGTGTGTGGATTTTGTCTGTTAAGAATACAGGACTCACCGCTGCAGATACTTGCAGAAACACTGAAGTTCTTGGAGCATCTCCTTTGCAATCTGGAAAATTTCCTCAGCTAGAAACAAGTCTACCAAGTGAGCACAGACATCCTCACAGCAACGGGCCATGCGAATCCTCTGGTCTGTCTGCATTGCACTCCTAGGAAAAGGTCAGTAAAGTGTTGGAGACACTGTACCTCATCTGCCTAGCATGTGCAAGGCTCTGAGTTTGATTCTCAGCACCACAAAAAAAAAAAAAAAAGTGTGAGAGTGTAATTATTTCTCCACTGAAAGAGAAATTTTAAGACTCATTTTTAGTTAAAAGTATAGACACTTGGAAAGATAAGAGGGAAAAAGGACTAAAGTGGTACAAGGTACCAGTCTATAGGCCCAAAGGAGCAACAGTCCAGAAATAGACCTTTAACCCGATGCGGCAGGAGAATCACTTGAGCCAGAGTCAAAGCATGACCCTCCTCTCAAAGAGAGGGAAAGAGCGCTTGGTGTGGAGAAGACTCTACCAGTGAATTTGCTAATAGACACATCCCACATCCAGTGTAGGGTCCAAGACAGAAGGAGACTGAAAGGGAGGCCCTTCCTGCCTCCAATTCCCTGGAGTATAGGAACAGCATGCTACCATTTGGCTATCTGAAAGATATGCTCCTTGTTCAACTTCAGTGCAGATCGATCCCAGATTGCAGCAGCTTGACCATAGTACCTTGTAACCCTCCTCCCTTCAGCCTCACCCCTGGCCCTCAGAACACCAGCACTTCACTCACTTCAACTCCTGGGAGCAGGTTTCCCACACACACTCTGTCACCATGAGTTCTGTCAGCTCGGCAGCCAAGCCCTGGCTCAGCTGAGTTAACACCAGCTCTTTCTCTTGTTTCAACCTATGGGTAAAAAGAAGAAAAAACAAAACAAAAAACTAAGTATAAAAACAATGGATGCTTACTATTTCACTCCTTAACTGTGCAGATGGGGAAGAGGGATGCTGTCTGAGGCGGCAGGCCACCCTGACTCCAGTCTCCCCTCCCCCGACCCTCGCCTGTCCTGCCAGGGAGCCAATGCTCAGAAGAAGGGACTTAGGCTGGGGACCCCCACCTATTCCCTGGGCAGAAGCATAAGAGGGTGCTAGGTGGGCTGGCTGAGGTTTCATGGCAGTGCACTGGACAGCAGTAGGAGCATGTTGCCAGGGCCAGTTCCTCCCTGTGTACACACTGCCAGCCTGGTGCTGCTGCAGGGACAGGACATACTCACCTTTCCTCTTCAGCCTGCCGTTTCTCCTCCTCCCTTCGCTCTCTTTCCTTAGCCACTTCTTCAGCTGCAACATGCCTCAAAATTCCCGTAGTTGCAGCTGTTAACAAATCCTCCATGGCAGCATTAGAAACACTGGACAGAGCAAAACAGATAATATTTAAACTCAGAAGAAAGCCACTTACACTATTACCAAGTAGGGTTTGTCTCCAGAATACAAGCACAATTCAACCTATGAAAACTAATTAAATTAATATAGCCACAGTAACAGAATGAAGTTCAAACACACATACACAGTCATCTCAATTGATGGAGAAAGAGCATCTAGCAAAATTCAACATTTCATGATAAACACTTAATAAACTAGGAATAGAAGGACTTTCTCAACATGATAAAGACCACATATGAAACACTACAGCGTAAAAGACTGAGCCACTGAGTGGTAAAAGACTGAAAGCTCTTCCTCTAACATCATGAGCAAGACAAAGGATACCTACTTTGCCATTTCAACATATTACTGGAAGTTATAGCCAGAGCAATTAAGCAAGAAAAAGAAAAAGCATCTAAACTGGAGAAGAAATAAAACTATATTCACAGATGATATGATCTTATATTAGAAAATTCTAAAGAATCCTAAAAAGCAAGTATAGCAAGGTTGGAGAATAAAAATCTAAATACATGTAGCTAAGTGGTAGAGCACCTGCCTGGCTTGTGTAAGGCCATGGGTTCAATCCCCAGAATAATAATAATAATATAACATAAAATTATCATTTATAAACTTTAATCAACTGAATGTTGCTTAAAAAGCATGGAAATGGAAATTACATGCTGATACAAAATAGAGGGTCAGGAATATGAGAAACTATGCTTTGAGCCAACACTTAGGCTGAAACTGGCACTTTGGGTCTAGGGATAGGTTTAGGTCCTCAGGGAGCAAACAACTGCCAAGCAGAAGGGAAGGATGATGTGCCAGGTGTACTCACCCTAAAGCTGCAGCCACATATGCTGCCCCAGCAGTGCCGACTTCCTCACAGTCCCGCTGAAGAGCCTCCTGGATAAGCTCATCTACTACCTGCACCAGGTCCTATGGAGAGATGAGCACAGAAGTTGAAACAAGGATTATGCCCAGGGCAGAAATCCTGGGTGAGACCTGTCACTGCACACATCTGAAGGTTCTACTGACAAGATGCATTATCCTAGCACAGGATCTGCCACGTTGCTTCAGGAAAAGTCTCCTCTGAAGAACAGAAAGTGCCTTCTGGAGGGCCAGGGAAAGCTTACTGGATGACAGCCCTGCAGAGTTCCAATAGTACCTTGTCCATCTTCTCTTGGCCACAATGAATTTTCTCAATTTCTGTGGCCATTTTTTATGTCCCCCCTCACGGCCCCTTAGTCCCCCAATAGAATTAGTGCTCATTACCTACAAGAGGCCAGCACGACACAACTGAGTCTTCTACTCATGTGATAGACAGACCCTGCTCAACCCTAAAGCTGTCCTTTTCTGTGGGCACAGCACTGCCATGATCCCACAGGTCCTGGTCAGCCTATCCCGTCTCAAACAAGCAGATGCTATTACAGTCACAACAGACATGCAGGGACTCAGGGTGATGCTGTGGTGGGAAGCACTCAAGTGTAGCTAACTACTGTGATGAAGGGGGCTCTACAGTTATTCTGGGGGCATCAGCCCCAATTCTGCCACGTGAGGTCATGACTGTTGGCAGGTTCTTTCCTCCACTCTGGCTTCTCTCCTGAGACCAGGCAACACAAGACCCCACACACAAAGAAGTGGATGCCAAGGACATTTGTGTACAATGGGTTTCTCAGAGCCCTGATCTAGAAGATTCCTTACCGCATCAGAATACTTGGGAGCAGGCTTAGGAGGCAGCAGCTCTGGCTGCATGGAGGGCTGGAAGAGGTTGGGTGCCACAGCCAGGGTCAGTGATGGAACATGAGGCAGAGAAGCAGGTAAGGGTGTGGAGCCAGAAAGAGGCTGTGGGAGGAAACCTGGTGGTGGCACATCCAACTCTGCTCCACACTCCTCTGTTCTGCCACCACCTGGAAGGAAACACACAGGGAAAAACAGGGTGCTACAGACGCTTAGTACCAGCACCATGTGTGCTGCTATCACCATGCAGGGATAGCATGCCATCCACACTGACCCTAGCACTGCTTGCTCTCCCTGAGACCACCATGGAAACCCTCCTGAAAGTATACAGCAAGGTTGTCATGTGCTTCCTGTGGAAACAGTACACGTCAGAAAGCCTGGAGGAGGACTTCAAAAGTCTCAAGTCTAAGCAAAGAGAGAGATAATTGACCACCAAGCCAACAGTGAGGTCTCCAAGCCCCAAAGCAAGACAGATGCTTCTAGCTATGAAGAGGTTTCTGAGAGGGAAAATGCAGTACAGCTTCACTCACCTGCTACGTCCATGCCGAGTCTCTGAGTGCTGACAGGCAGTTCCGCAGCTAGGCTCTCCCCAATGTATTTGTTCTGGGAGTTGAAGCTGCACACAGGGATGTGACGAGGGACTGGGGGCAATGGCCCTCCATTCACAACTTCCCCAACGGACACCATCAGCTTCTTGGTAATAAATACTGACTTCCTGGCCTTGAATAATCCTTCTGGTTCCAGGAATGCAGACCGATTAAGCTCGACACAGCTACCCAGACCACAAAGAGCCCAGAGAGAGGTGTCAGCTGGGGAAGATGACAGCTTGGCCTTCTCAAATCCAACTGCAATGCTAGAAGCCCCTGGGCTAAAGCACAAACACTGTCCGGTATCACATAGGCCAGATACAGAGGACAAGGGAAAGCAAGGCCCTGATACCTATTGTTAGCAGGTATCACCTGTCAGGTGTTAATGCATCTGACCCAGTGCATTAACAGCCATATGTGGAACCATACACACCAAAAGCTATCCCAGTTTCCTGACAACAGGACTGGAGGAAAGAGCAACAAGAGGGAGGTGTTCGCCACTGAGTGTAATGGCACCATCTGCTGGAAAAGGGTTTGTGAGTTTCATCTCTCAAAGTAGAGAACACTATGGCCTGGCCTACTTGTGTCTCCTTCTCAGCCACAAGAGGTAGAAGTGACTATACTGATCAACAAAGGCAATCATCAAGGGATAGAAAAGGGAGGTCCAACCCCTATCTTTGGATTCTTTGAAACTCATGAAAATCACTGATTTTGGAGTCACAAAGAATGTGGTCTGAACCCCAATCCTCCAACAACCAGTGTGTGAGTTTGGAATATTCCCCAGCTGCACAATAGGAAGGCAGCATGTGGAATGGGCCTTCTGCAAGGCCAGCACTTTACAGCTCACTATTGGTAATTTAATAGGGAAAGAGAAAAGCCACAGATGTAGTCTTGGCTCTTACCCATCAGAAACAGTGAGACCATGGTAGTTGAGGAAGTCTATTGCCTCTTCGCAATCTCTAAACAGTAGCATGCGTACTACACCATCCAAGGGAAAGACAGTAGAGCGCTGTGTGCTCACAGTGTATGCAACGTTGAGTGCTCGAAGAGCGTCCTTACGAATCTGAAAGGAGAAGCCAAATCACTGCAGTCTCAAAGAGAGACACTCAGACAAATGTAAGCAGTCATCTGTCCCTGGACCACAGCCAGCCAACACGGGGACAAAGGCTCTGGCTGTAGCTCAGTCCCTTTGGAACAGTCTGGCAATATGGACCTTAACCTTAGAGCTCACAGGCTCTCTGCCCAATGGCAGCAGCCCAGTAATGAGTGATAAGCAAACAGTCCTAAAGGAAAAGATGGGCCATGACGGTCTCCTTTGTGAGAAAAACTCCAAATAAACCATCCACCAATAAGGGCATGAAAGTAAACCATGCAGTACACACTGAACCAAAGGCTTCTAAGGTACTTAGGCTATCAGGCTGTGGAGCACCATGGAAAAATGCATGACATGAAATTAAATACAGTAGTGGGACACAAAACTGTTTCATAGCATTCTAACAAGTACCTTAAAAAAAGAAGACAAAAAAAACCCATGAAAATTCTAACAAAAATTGTTTAGGTACCAAGCCTCTGTGTGCCTATTTGTTTGTCCTCTCCAAGTGCAACAACCAACAACTCCTAGAGTGCTCACTCCATGCCAGGCACTATTTTTAATGATCAGAGTACAGTAGAGGACAAAACCAACAAAAATCCCTATCCCCATGAAGCTGACATGCTAGGGAGTGACCAGTGCTAAAAACAATGAAGTATATAAAATACATTTAATGGTGATTAAGTGCAATAGAGAGAAAGGTAAGTGACAGGGAACATGGAATGCTGACAGGCAGAGTCAAAGTAGGCCCTCCTAAGGTGGCAGCCAGCCAAGATGGGGAGAGGTAAGAACACCAGGGCCATGTGGCTTGTAAGGCAGAGAACTGGTGGGAAGATCCTGTGGGGGAAGAGAGCTGAGAGGACAGGGAGGCATCACTGCAGGTGAAGCTAAGCAAGGAGGGCAAAGAGATGAGGCTGGCCTGAGACAGTGGGACCGTGCAGGCCATTGCTAGTAAAAACACTGTTTTTCTAAAGAAAAAACACTAAAGTTTCTCTTTTAAAGTTTCAAGTTATTTATAATGGATAACATTCTAACAACATTAAATCATCATTTAAAAAATATCAGCTATAAGTTTCATTTAACAACTCTAAAGAGTTTCCTTTCCCAAATGGCAGGTTATTAGAATCCTTTTCATTTGTTCCAGAATTTTAGTTCTGGTGGTGACTGTCAAATCTGACAACAGCAAGGGAACTTACCTGGGATATGACTATAGGCTTATTTGCTGCTGACAAGAGGACTTGGTACATGACCAAACAGAAATGACCTAAACTCACAGCCAGAAGTGCAGGCCCTGAGATCTTCCAGACATCCTCCTCCCCATCAGATGTTAGATGAGATGGGCAGTACAATGTCTGCAAGGTGAGGGCATGCCGCAGGAGCGATGCATGGCACGGGTCATATCTCACTGAGACTAATACATGTGAGGGACCTAGGAGGCTGCTTTGTTGGCATCCCCAAGATTTTCCACAGGGCTGAAACTAATGAACTGAGTAGAAATTCCAAGAGTTTATATAAAACCCTAGGTAAGAGAGCAATCTTCAGATTGCCTTTGTAACTCAAGGGCACAGCAAAGGACTTAGGTTCCTACTGAAATGAATTTACCATCATCAGCCTCACTCCGACAATTTAGATTAATAATGCTAAGAATTTGAAAGTTAGGGATTTTGTCCATATGATACACGATTTCTGCTTTTTGGTTTCTTTGTTTTCATGAAAGATGACAGCACTGAACTTGTCATTCTGAAGATTTTTCTTATCTAAGACACAAAATAGTAGTTCCACTGCACAGGATCTCCTGGTAGAGATTACAGTGCCAACTCATCCAGCAAGGTAAAACCAGAAACCCCTTGTAGGGTGGTTCCATGAGTTAGACGCCAACTGACTGAAGAGCTCTAGAAGAGAAGTACTTCAACACCACAGTAATAGCCGCTTTTTTCTCATGCTGCTAGCAGCTGTTCTCTCACCTGATTAAAGTAACAGTGTAACAGGCACGCATTCAGATAAGAAGCTGACTGGACCAGTTTGAAAAATCTCACAAAATTATTACTGTTCAATGCAGCAAAAGCCTGGACAGCGAAGTCCACCTCAGGGGAGTTTCTAACATCAGGGTGGAACTGCTGCACTTCTCTGTTAGGGAAACAAGATGATTACAGTATGACTTGTTGTTGTACAACATTTCCACAAGAATATATCTGAAAACTAGAATTAAGTAATGCTGAGAAAGACAGTCTGCATGGACACAGGTATTAATGAATTCACAGGTCCCTAACTTCAGAGTTGCCACTCTCAGTCTGGATGGATAGGCAAATGTTTTCTTTAAGGAGATGATAAAGTAAATAAATCTAAACAACAATTTAAGAATCCATTATCAGAAAGTTATTTTAAAGTAATGCTAATTGACTGCTAGCTATGTTTAGCAACGAAGTCTAAGAAACAAGAAATTTAACTTTGTGTTTAAAAAAAATCAATTTGACTGAATTTTTCAGGATGGAAACAAGTGCTTGTATTATATGAAAAGACTACACAGCCATTTTCCATAATCAGTTTATCTACAAGGCTTAATTTAAAGCTCAAAATTAATCACACATCTAGATATTCTGCAATAGCTTCCTGGAGAAAACACTAAGCTAGTAAAGAATTTCAGCTGCTTATGGTAGTACATCCCTGTAATTCTAGCACCTGAGAGGCAAAGGGAAAGGACTGTGAGTTTGAGGCCAGCTGGGGCTAAATAGTGAAACTCTGTCTGAAAAAAGAATAAAAACAAACCAAAAAAATCAACATAAGGGAATCTTGGGAAACATGGGCACAGAGAATTCTGCATTTCTCATTTTATAAAGATCTACTTATGTATCAAACTAGGTTTAAAATTCATTCATTTTAGTAACCTTTCCTTTCATTTCATACAATTTTCTCCTTTGACAAAACTACCTGGAAGCAGTGAATTGCTAACAACTCTGATAAGGGACCCTGGCTTCCCTGTCCTGCTTCACTTCCTAGGTCATCAGGAGGATCCCTAACTCATTGTTTCTCATTGAAGAGCAACAGTTCTTAGCAACGAACATAAGTGGTGCATGTCAGATGTGCTGGTAGAGCGCATGTCCTCATTGCTCCACTCCCCACTCTGCTAGGCAACTGCACAGTCCACACAAGGGTCTCTCAATCTTAAATGCGCCTTTTCTGTTGAACCTGGCTTTTCTGTACATCCTAGATCAACTTCTGAATCTATAAACTCACCTCAGGATGTCTCCCTTATTGAGATTGAGCAGAACATTGTAGCCCTGGAACTCAGCTTCACTGGCACAGAAGACACCCTTGGTCCTCAGGTCCTGATACATCTCCTTCAGACTCTGAAGACACTTAGTCATGTTTTCATTATTGATCTTGGCATCGAAGGAGGACATGGGCTCCTCACACATGAAGTGAGCACAATGGATGTGAAACCGAGTGCACTTCTCAATCAGGGACACTGTCAAGGGGTCACAGAGGTGCTGCTGCGTGATGTCCTGGTCAAAACCAAGGGGGAAGATTATACATTACACATGCTTCACTCATTTGCACACATTCCTACACACACAAAGGTATGCTCCCATGCAGAGTCAATTGTGAGAAAACTATACAGTCAGCTTGACCTCAAACCCCATGAAGCACATTTTCATAGGGTTCTGTGGGCTGGGGGTGTGGCTCAGGCCAGATAGCACATGATTTGCAAGTAAGCCCTGAGTTCAAATCCCAGTCAACAAAAAAAAAAAAAAGGAATAGGGTTTTTGTAGAGATAGGAGGATTACAGTTCAAAGCCAGCCCAGGCAAAAAATTCAAAAGACCCTATCTGGGAAAAAAAAAAAACAACACAGAAAAGGGCTGGCAGAGTGGCTCAAGTGCTGAGAGTACCTGCCTAGCAAGAGTGAGACCCTGAGTTCAAATTCCAGTACTGCCAAAAAAAAAAAAAGAAAAAGTGTATTTTTGTTTCATATGAAAATATCTGAGTAAAATGAAAAAAGCTACCAGTGTGGCTTTAGAATATACACACATTTCCTAGTCTCCTAACTTGGAGGCAGCTGATACCTTCCGTATGCCCCGTGTGCGGTTCCACACGAAGTCGTACCAGTCCCGCAGGCTACCATCCTTCTGGTCCATGATCTGGGTCACCAGGTAGTCCATAGTCCTGCTGAGGACAGCTGAGGGCCGCAGCTCATGTGGCAGAGGCTCCTCCTGATCAGCAGAGGACCGGCTGTACTCCTTCACAGCTGCTGCATGGTCCACCTGGGAAACATGGAGCAAAAACAAGCTAGTTGCTTGTGTGACAGTTGCTGGACCTTAAAATAGGGAGGAAATCACATATACACACTAGGTTGATGCTTGAAAATAATACTTTTTAAATTAAAAATTTCTGTTAAAGTTAACAATCAAAAAATTTAAAGACTTCACTTAAATTGAGAAACTTGATTTTGGCAAATAAAACAAGGAGTTAAGACAAGAGGGTGTTGTAACAAGAAGGAGTATCAGTGAAACATACTTACCCAGCTCCAAAACATAAAGTTGTGAAAAGTAAAGATCTTTTAAGCATTGTAAAATGTCTCAGCCACACTCAAACACCAAGTTAAGTCTACACAACTGGAAATGAAATGGAGATAGACAGTGAGGACCAGTGCGGGCACAGAAGCAGGGCCCAGTGACTCAAGGGACACCTACCGAAGGAGGCTGCAGGCTCATGAACACAGGGGAAAGTAGAGATGTCTATAGGCTTGGGCCCTGAGTATCTGCTGTCCTTATTTAGAAGCCCTGAGCTGCCTCTAAGGTAACACTTGCTGCTGGGCCAGGGACCCTGCATCAGGTAAAACTACCAGCCTGGCAGAGAAGCCCACAAACAAAACTGAAGAGCTAAAGGATCTAGGTTAGTGCAGATTTCTAAGCAAACCACTTGGAACATGTACTGAATTCAAGTTCAGGAAAGGTCATGCTGTCTGATACAGTAATTTAATGCTTAGGTCCTAGCCAAAGAAAAATCAAAAGGAGGCTAGGCACAGTGGCTCACACCTATAATTCCAGCCTTGGAAGGCAAAGATCAGAAAGATTGCAGTTCAAGGCCAGCCCAGGAAAAAAGTTAGCAAGAACTCAGCTCAATCAATAAGCTGGGTGTGGTGTCTCATGCCTGTCATTCCAGCTAAACGGAAGGCGTAAATGGGAAAATCATGGTCCAGGCTGGCCCAGGCAACGCCACAAGACCCTATTTGAAAAAGGGTTGGAGACTTGGCTCAAATGCTAAAGCACCTGCCTAGCTAGCAAATGGCCTTGAGTTCAAACCCCTTTACTGAAAAAAGAAAGGAGGGAGGGAGGAAGGAAGGGAAGTAAGGAAGGGGAGGGGAGGGAAGAGGAAAGAGAAGAGAGGAGAGGAGAAATGGAGGCTGGTGGAATTGCCCAGTAGAAGACATAGCGTTACACCTGGTCAGTACCCGGGACCACTTCAAACACACTCAGCTGGCTCCTGGTCTCACGCATGTACCGCTCCTTCTCAGGACACATGTCAGGACATGTCCCAACAAAAGTCCTCGCTTTGTCCAGATCTGTCCTCTTCACCCGAGCTAAATGACATCAAGCAAAAGATGAGGATGTATGTACCACAAGAGTGCTAAGAATACAAAAAAGCATATTTTCATAATGATAATTTTTTCAAAAGTCACAGATTACAAAGAAAAAGAAATATCTTTTAAATTCTGGGTCTCAGAGAAAGAGACTTGTGGCCTATCCCATCAGGCAGTGGGCATCGAACTCACAAAGATGACCACCTCACTCTGACCAGGATTGCCCTCCAATAGTCACAGACCTTCACTGCAGACTAACAGTGGGACACACCCTCAAAGATGAGTGCAACTGCCAGCATTCTCTAATTCTTATCATGACCTCAGTGATAAACAATCATGGTGCAGAATGTCTACTAAAAGGATAAATTTGTTAAATGCAAATATTCAAAACATACCAGTATTCCAGAATTCTGTCTCAGTATTCACAATCACCTAATGGAAGTTAGGTCCATCCTGTCCTGATTAGGTATACCACTACTATTACCCACAGAATTAAAGGTTACAAATGAGCCAGGTGCCGATGGTTGGAGTGGTTCAAGGTGTAGGCTCCGAGTTCAAGCCCCAGTATCACAAAAAAAAAAGTTACAAATATATCTTTTAAATAAAATGGAATACAACAACTTCACCACTCACAATATACACATCTTACTTTTGTTTTGAAAAATTCCAATACCTAGAGTAAGTTTATTTAGAATGTAAAAATCACCATGCAAGGATATGTGTCATGGAATCATTGATCATTCCAATTACTCCCAGCTTTTAAAAAAGGAAACTCGAGCTTATGAATAAAATAAAATAAAATAATTTAAAAGTTAAAAAAAAAACATTTAGTATTCTGACATAAGCATTTTTCCTGTTGCTATGTGACCTTTATAAACTTTTTAATGACTGCACAATGTTTCCTCCAGTAAGAATGTAATAATTTATATAACCATTTCTTGATTGTTTTGATATTAAATTCTATGCAAGTTTAAAAAATAATAATTAAAATAAATAAATAAGTAAATAAAATAAAAAAGGAAACTCCTCCTGGGCATAGTGCTACATGTCTATAATCTCAGCACTCAGAAGTCTGAAGCAGGAAGACAGAATATGCCAGGCCAGCCTGTGCTACATTGTGAGAAAAAATACACTGTGCTATACAGTGAGAAAAAAATTGCAAAGACTACATGTTTTTTATTTTTGGTCACTGTATATTTGTAATGTTAATTGAATACTTTTGAAGTTAATACATTCACACATTTTAATGTTTCAAAGGTGCTAATGATGTGTGAAATGGAGCATCCCCCCACTTATCTTTCAGACACCCACTCCCTCTCCATTGACAATCAGTGTTAACAGTTCCACATTCTCCCACCACTACCCACATATGTAGACAGACATACAACACTCACCTTCAGGAAGACTGGCAGACAAGAACAATCAGATGTGGCACATCAGAGACCCAAAGACTCAAAAGCCGTGGAGTCCCATGGAAAGTGAACACTCCCCACCTGGTGGCTCTGACACTATACACCATACCTTGCCGCATGATTCGGTCTCTCTGGTCAAGCAGGCGGTACTTCTCTTCAGATGTCTCAGCCGTGGTCCCTATCAGGGTGCTGAGAGGTGACACACATGGACCAAGGCCCTCGGAGCCCTCAGACCCAGAGTCAAAAGGGTCTCCCTCAAACTGGTGGGCCTTTACCAGACTGGGCTTCTTCACAGGAGAGCTATCGAGAAAACAGCACATTAAAGCCCTTGTATTACTTCCATTTTCTGGTTCTCTCAAGCTAATAAAGTATAAGCATCAAGATGAGATAAGCCTTCATATAGCTGGTAATCTTTGAGACAGAAGACTACAAATACTTATCTTAGATGTTTAAATGAGCTCATCTCACTTCTTAGAAGAAATATTTCAAAATTATTAAAAAACAATAAATGTTTAAAAGAATGAAATATTTCAAAAATCATTAAAAGCCAATAAACAATGTAACAACTTTGTGCTCGCCACCAGCTTTTATTTTTCTTTTCTTTTTTTTTTCCTCCTTTGAGGTCTTGCTATTTTGCTCAAACTGGTCTCAAACTCCTGGGCTCAAGATGACCTCCTGCCTGAGCCTTCTGAGTAGCTGGGATTACATCTTTTTTTATTTAAAAACAATATTTGAGCTAGGCACCCATGGCTCACACCCGTAACCCAGCTACTGAGGAGGCAGAGATCAGGAGGATCACCGTTCGAAGCCAGCCTGGGCAAATAGTTTAAGAGACCCTATCTCGAAAAAACCCATCACAAAATAGGGCTGGGGGAGTGGCTCAAGATGTAGGCTCTGAATTCAAACCCCGGTCCCACTAAAAAAAAAAAAAAAAAAAATTAATACCAAAATGAGTAACATTGACCACATGCTGTGATACCTAACTTTATTTCAGCAGCTGGTGTCCAACATTCTTTGATGAACTTGAGCATCAAAGAGGATCTAACACTGGATGAATGGGAGAGGAAAAAGCAAAAGCCAGCCAGTAACTAGGCTGCTAATCACAAAATAGAAATCAGGAAAACAATCTTTTAGCGCTGGCCAAAAGATGAGAAGACATTAAAACAGAGACTTGTTGAAGCAGGCCGAGCACGAAAAGGTGATGGCAGTCAGGTGTCTTAGAACACAAAGCAAAGGGACAGACTTCTGGGACAGTTCACCAGACAAACAGGTGGCCACATGACAGAGAAGCAACCACGCTCACACCATATGGCAGCATACCACTACCATGAGAGACAATGCCTGGTTTATTGCAGTAAGCTAGACATAGAAAATCATGCTGGAAACTGTCAGATGTGATTATTAGGAATGTATAGTTATTGTAGTCAGGCCATCTAAGAGGAAAAGTTATAGCATGTGCACTTACTTGTCAGGTAAAACTGCAAGTGACTTCAGTGACTTCATGGGATGTGGGACAGAGTTAGCCCAGCAAAGAGACATGCCCCCACTGCATGTGAGGCAGATGATGACCAGCACACTCCATGCACCCCATGAGGCATGCACTCTTTGCACAGGCAAAAGAAGCTCTGCTGTACTAAGTGACCAGCCTCTTGAGCAGGAACTGAGTCCCAGGACCTCTGCAGCTGCAGTTAAGAGAACCATTCCAGCTACAGGAGCTTTGTGATGTGGTTCTCACAAAGAAAATGCCCAGGGTGGGGGAGAAAAGGCCAGCCTCCCAAAATGACCTTCTCAGCAACCTAGGTCCTAGGGTATCTGAGAAAGAGACAAAGTCAGCCCTGAAGCTGGCAAGTCCAAATGAAGAAAATTCATTCTCCAATTCTCCAGCCAGGACCACCAGCCCTGTGCAGACCTGCAGTCCCAAATCATCCCCACTGCTCATGCTGGCTGTGGGTGCAAGGTTCAGAAGGACCACTGCCCTTCACCCCTCAAAATCTCTAGCAACTAGTTCTTGTCCCACCACCCCCTGTCCCCAAATCCCTACTTAGGTGTCACAGTAGGACATTTTTCCTTCCTGAACGTGGCCAGTAGGAAAGGCCAGTTCTACCTTTTATTCAGGAGGCTGCTGGCTGCAGTCCTCACAACAGGCTTGCCAAGAGGAGAGTGCCGAAAGGGTGAGTCCTCTGTGCTCTGGCTGGCTTCACCATCACCAGGTTTCTTCTCCTTCAGGGAAAAGGGTTTCTTGTTGGGACCTGTGGACACAGGAGTCAGAAGACAGTTTATACAACACAGATCTCATACTGGACTTCTTAATTTCTTTTTGAGAACGCAATATTCTTACAGTTGTCACAGGGGTTACAAAAGAATGCAAGGAAAAAACTATGAGACATAAGAATCCACTCAAGAGCCAGCTTCCCCATTCACTGGTCATGGGGAAAGGATTCAAACTCACAGGTCAAAGGGCCTTGCACACAGAGAATTAGATCATGCAAAGAATAATTGAAAACTCACTTATTTTCTTCTTGTGCCAAGATATAGCCACATCCTTATGCAAGCCTTTCCCCTTCTTTCTAGCAAGGGCTGCAGATGCCTGTAAAACAGTCCGTACCCACCAAGTATGAGGACACTAAAGAACGTGAGCCTGGGCACACAAATGCAGTGAGTAGAACAGACCACTCAAAAATAAGAGTATCTACTGTCCTCCATACCACAGTGATGCCTCCTCCCACCGTGTGTTCTGCCCTCATCTACCTCTAGCTTTTGCAGCCACAGCCTCATCTCCTTTACCTGTCTCATAAACATGTATGTGTTCTTTTCCTTTTTATTTATTTTTTTTTTCCTTTTTAAAATTAACAACTTTGCTGAGATAGAATCCAGGAACTTGGCCCCTGGCATTTGGTGAGATGAATATTTCACCAGTTGATTACATATACAGAAACAGAAAGACTACCAAGTCATACGTAAGCACCAAAGGCAGATGCAAAGTGATACACATGGGATACCATTCATCACAAGACCAACTACATGTTATGCATGTATGTGCATAGATATCCTTATAAAGATGTCTAGTGACTGGTGGAGTAGCTCAAGTGGTGGCAAGCAGGAGGTCCTGAATTCAAACTGTTACGAGTATTATGTTTGCTGTGCATTAAACATATTGAAAAATTATATAAAAATATAATATATTGTAAAACCTATAGGAAAACAATATTGTGTGCACTTGTATGCCCTATGAAGTAAACAAATACCATATGGTGTCTGATACGCAAATAAGCCAACCCCCAGCTGGTGCCGATATGCAAATCAGCCAAACCTCAGCTGGTGCTCATATGCAGATCAGCTAACCCTAAGCTGGTGCCGATAAACAAGCCCACTGTGAATATTTAAACTCCACTCCCCACGAGACCAACGCCACCTCCTCCTGACCGGCAACACGCATCACACCGGTGGAAAGCAACCCCTGGACGAAGTGGACCGGACACCCTGCATGGCCCGCCAGATTCCCTGGGCGTCCTGGAGGCCTATGGAGACTGAGAACTAGCCAGGACCAGTTCGGAGCCAGCCGCCAGCAGACTAAGATTCATGTTGCAAGGTTAGCACAGCTTGGGGAAGGCTGAGGCACTATCGGGCATAGGTTGTAACTCCCTACAATAAAGTGTGTGTATGAGCAACTTAGTTCCTGCCTAAGTTAATTCATTTAGCACCTGATTGATGGTCAACTTTCCACTGTCGCCTGCTTGAGACAAAACCCTAATACCACTAAAAAAAAAAAAAAAAAAAAAAAATTGCACCACACGGGGTAACTGAGGGTGGGGGAAATCAGTGAATTATGTACAATGGCAATGTATTTTCATATCAGTTCTATAATAAAAATATTTATGGTTCACCTGAGGGAATAAACACATTACATAGGCAAACTTTTTTTTAAATTGAGGATTATTGCTGTGTGTGGTGGTGCATGCCTATAATCTCAGCATGTGGGAAGTTGAGGCACTGGGATAGTAAGTTCAAGGCCAGCTTGGACTACATAGCAAGACCCTGTCTCAAAAAGCCAAAAAAATTTAAATTTTAGAAATGAGGATTACCATATTTCCACTCCCAAGAATACTCCCTCCCCCCACAAAACAAAACATGTAAAGCAGGGTCACGAACAGATACTAATATACCAATGATCAGAGCAGAATTATCTACACTAGCCAAAGGTAGAAACAACCCATGTATCTACCAACACAAGAATGTAATAATGAAACATGGTCCAGCCATACAATGAAAAATTACTCATCCATAAAAGGAAAAAAAGTTCTGATTCATGCTAAATGTAGTCAAACCTTCAAATAATGCTAAATGAAATAAGCTACACAAACAGACAAATATTTATGACCCATAAGTATATAATATCTAGAATAGGCAAGTCCATTGACAGAAATTAGAGGTAGCCACAGGCTGGAGGAGAGGAGAGTTATTGCTTAATGTTTATAGAGTTTCTGTTTGAGATAATGAACATGTACTGGCATGGTGATCAGCAAGACCTATAATCCCAGCACGTGGGAGTCTGAGGCAAAAAGACCTCCAGGTCAGGACCACCTGAGCAACATAGTGAGATGCTGTCGCAGCCAATGGCTGGGGATGTAGTTCAGTGGTGAGTGCAAGTTCAATCCCTAGCACTACAAAAAAAAGAAGAGAGAGAAATATATATACACAATAACATCCAAAAATAGAGAAACAGTCAGGTAAGCAAGTAAACAGGATAAAGTGCCACATAGCATTTAACAATCCCATGTGGTGGAACATGCCTGGGATCCCAAGCTACTCAGAAGGTGGTAGGAGGATAGAAAAGTTCAAGGCCCACCTGGGCAAAGCTGGTGAGACCCTATCAAAATATAAACAGAAGGGCTGGGTATGTAGCTGAAATGCTTGCCTAGCATGGTCAAGGCCCTGGGTTCAAGCCCCAGTACCAAAAAACAATCTTATTCTAATAGAAACTTTTTATTGATTTCAGATAAGTCAGTCATGGAGGCACACATCTATAATCCAAGCTATTCAGAACAAGAATATTGCTTGAAAGCCAAGTGCCAATGGCTCACACCTGCAATGCTAGCTACTCAGGAGACAGAGAACAGAAGGATCAAGGTTTGAAGTCAGCTATGGAAATAGTTCTTAAGACCCTATCTTGAAAATACCCAACACAAAGAAGGGCTGATGGAGTGGCTCAAGTGGTAAAGTGCCTGCCTGGCAAGCATGGAGGCCCTGAGTTCAAACCCCAAAACAAAAAGAGAATTGCTTGAGCCCAGGAGTTCAAGGCCAACCTGGGCAACACAGCAAGACACTCTCTTTCTCTTGGCAGGACTGGAGTTTGGACTCAGGGCCTCACATTTGCTAGGCAGGCACTTTACCACTTGAGCCACTCTGCCAGACCTTTATTGTGTTGCTGGGTATTTTTGAGATAGGGTTTTGCCCAGGTGTGCTTCAAACCTGATCCTCCTGATCTCTGCCTCCTGAGTAGCTAGGATTATAGGTGTGAGCCACTGGCTGGACCCTGACAAGCATGAGGCTGTAAGTTCAAACCCCACTACCACCAAAAGCAAAACAAAAAGAGAGAGATGTCTATAAAAAGTTATAAGCCGAGCATGGTGGCCCATGCCTATACTCTCAGCACTGGGAAGGTAGAGGCAGGAAGATCATCAGTGGGCTCACTGAGGCCAAAATTGGGAGGATCACCCAGGCAAATAGTTCTAAAAATACCCCCATCTCCAAAACAACCAGAGAAAAATGGACTATAGTGCCAGAGTGCCTGGTTTGCAAATGCAAAGCTCTGAGTTCAAACCCCAATCCACCCCCCCAAAAAAAAAAAGGAAAATATGCTTTCTACTTCATAAACGCCTATAGAACTTAATTTTCCCCAAAAAAATAGTTAGAAAAAATAATAAAGATATAACGCTGCCTAAAGTGTGCAGTGCATGTGCATGTATACCCTATAACCAATGTTTCACATGCACAGTGAAAGGCTGCAAACCCAGAAGTTATCTGGGCGATGGGATTATAAGAGATTTCACTTTTTCTCTATGTTGTCTGAATGTTTTTATCGAACATGTACTATGAACAAATAAAACCAAAATCAGAAAACTCAAGTTTGAACAAGTGAGTGTGGATATGGAGCCACTCCAAGCCTTTCAGAGAAACTAAACTCAAGTGAGCCACTCAGAGCTTTCTTGGAGCACTGCATTCTGCAAAGACCTCAGCCTTTCACAACTCCAAGTTACAAAATGAACAGTACTACATCAGCCTCTCCAGGTTAATAAGGAGATATCTGAGTGCTTACTCCATATTCAAGCAAACAAAGATCAATGGAAGAGGGGAAAAAAAATGTTTAAAAGTGACAAAGTTAATTAGAAATAAGGGCAAAATAGTTTCTGCTGGGTATTGAGGGGGTGGGGGAGAAGGAGGGGGTGGAGTGGGTGGTAAGGGAGGGGGTGGGGGCAGGGGGGAGAAATGACCCAAGCCTTGTATGCACATATGAATAATAAAAGAAAAAAAAAGTGACAAAGTTCAAACTTGTGGTAACAAGTGGCAAGTCGGGAATACTTACATGATCAAAAAAAATGCACCACTGCAAGCTTTTTGCTGCGCCTGGTAAATATGCGCTGTACTTTAGCGATTTTGCTGAAGTGGTTCTCCAGGATGTTCTGTCATTGAGGTAATCGGGATGTTCTTACACTGAATAGCTGTGGCTTCCAAGGGAGACAAGCCTCCAAGACTGTCCGTGCTCTCACTTCTTTTACTCTGACGTATAGGAGTTCCCCTTAGAGAATCTAGGGGTTCAGAGAACAGACACCTAAACCCATCAGATGTTAACATTTGAAACAGGAAGCACCAACTGTGTGAAAGCAAAGGAAAAGCTCCAAGACCCTATATTAGAATCTCTAATACTTTTCAGAAAAATCAAGCTAACACTCAGGAGACTCACCAAGAACCTGCCAGCTGGATGTACTCTGGATTGTACACTTTTAAAACTCACCTTCTTTTTTCTCTCTGCTTTGGGTTTCTTCCTCTTTATTCACACCTGGAAGCCGGGAAGATGCCAGAGCAGACTGACTCCCTCCTGGGATTGCCATATGTTCACTTTCCCCAGACTCCACAAAACTACTTTCTTTTTTGGAATCCTTGTTGCCCAGACGGCCTACTTCTTTATTGCTTTTGAAGACATCCTGTATTGTCCGACCAAACAGAGTCCCTCCCCGGGGTCGATTCAGGCGCACAGGGCGTTTATCTGGAGGATGATCACCTCTGGATAGAGGGTCTGAGTCTTCTGCTGCCTCATGGCCATGTCTTCTGGGGGAACGATCCTGGTCGTCTTTCCTTTTCAGTCCTTTCATAAGGTTGGGAAGTGGCTCCACCTGGGAAACAGCATCTTCACACCCTTGTCGGACACCAGTTTTGCTAACTGAGAAGGGTTCTCCCAAAGACCCAGATGATGTAACAGGGAAGCTACTGAAGCTACTACTACTAGAACTTCCAAATATTGATTTGGGTACCCGCTTATCTTCCTCTACATTTTGGTTTGGCAAAGCAGGGGTAAAAGCAGATGATGAATTACTACTATTAACTGGTTTTTGAAAAGATAAAACTTGAATTTGTAGCTGAGCTACTTGTCACATGAGGATAAGAAAAAGAGGTCAGGCCTCCAGGTCCACTAATTGGGTGGGAAAATTTGAAAAACCCAGGTGTAATTTGGCTCTGAGTTTTCTCTGGCTCGGACTCACACCCCAGTATTGGTCTGAATACTGCATTTTCCAGAGGTTTAAAGCTGAATTCTTTTTTCCCAAAACCAGAGCTCACTATTTCTCCAGCTTCTGGTCCAAAAGTGGAAGTACTTGGAAAAATCCCAGTGCTGGGTGATGTAAAACTAAATCCTGGGTTTCTAGGCACAGACGAACTTGAAGGCCCAGAGGTAGCTACAAAAGGAGGAGTGTGTTCAAGTCCAGAAAAGAGTGCAGTACTTGAGGTCTGGGTGACTCCAAACGTTTGCACTGAAGAGGATTGACTTACTCCGGAAGGTGCTGCAAAGCTGGGTACCTGTGAAAATCCTGGGCTCTTCCCAGATAATGTATTGTTTTGTCCAAAAAGAGAAGGCTGACCAAAGCGAAATGGTGGCTTAGCCTGAAATGTACCTACAGAACTACTAGAAGATACTGCAAAAGCACTAGCCTGCTGCCCACTGAAAGGGTTTCCCGGGTTCATCTTTTACCCAATAATTAGAAAGCAATAAATATTTTTACAAAACTAGTTCTCTTCCTTAAACAGTTTGTTATCTAGGGAATTCCCCTTCATCTTCAGGATAAAGCTGAAAGACAAAAATTCAGATCATCACAGCACATCTTGCTAGAAGACTAATAAAAGCTCTGAATCACATGTTACATTCTTAAGGATAATTAAAGACGGCCAACACAAAGGATCAAGCACCCTCAGTTTGAGAGCCAACAGGTTCTTGTTGGAGGGCACGGATAGATAATACAAATAAATTACTTTGTAATGAAAGTTAAAAGCCAGATCCTTTAAGATTAAAAGTTGGGCGTTGGGGTGTGGCTAAAGGGGTAAAGCTCCTGCCTAGCAAGTATGCAGCCCTGAGTTCACACCCCAATACCACCAAAAAAAAAAAAAGATTCACATAAAAGTCGTGACAGGCGTCAGTGGCTCAGAGATCCAGTGAATTCAAGGCCAGATTGGGGCAAGTTCTTCGTGAGACACCACACACACACCCCATCTCCAAAATACCAGAGCAAAGTGGACTGGAGGTGTGGTTCAAGCGGTAGAGCGCCTTCTTTGCAAGGGGGCAAGCCCTGAATTCAAACCCCAGTCCCACCAAAATAAATAAATAAAAATAAAAGTCCGGCAGGCCACAATGGTTCACGCCTGTAATCCTAGCTACTCCAGAAGGCAAAAATCACAAGGATCGCGGATCCAGCCTCTATTTCAGAAAAGCTCAGCACAAAAAAAGGGCAGGCGGAGTGACTCAAGGGGTAAGAGCTCCTGCCTGGCAAGTGTGAGGCCCTGAGTTCAAACCCCAGTGCCGCCAAAAACAAAAATTAAAAGTTCAAATCATTTTACTTAGTTGATAAATTCGGGAAAAGTCATTCAGTAATAAGAACGAATGCGGTTACTTACACTTTTCGACTTAAAGAGGGGAACTTCGCGGGATTCTCCCAGTCTCCATGACCACAGAATTACAATGTAACACTGTAAAAGGTTACTGTTTCAGTGCTTCCTACCATCTAATTTTTCACCTGTAACAGGAGCAGGAAATACTTTTCTCAGGCCTAGAAATGCACTGCTTTTTACTGCGCTGGTCACTGCCCAGGAACTGGCCCAAAGGATGACCAGAGGCGGGCTGGGCGAAACCTCGGGCAGCTTGGCCAACCCAGCAGGCCTCGCCGTTAGCGACGGGAAGCCGAGATGGGGCGGGCCGTCCGGCATTCACCGTGCGCCCGCCGCAAGGCCAGGCCCTCGCCGCTCCGCCGCCTTCGCCCTTTGCCCTCGGCTCCCTTCCGCCGCCAACCCTCCTCCCGCCGCGCTGGGCACTGGGCGCGCGGAAGGCGCAGGCACCGGCCGCTGGAGCAGCCTTTCGCTGCGCGCGGCGGGCAGAGAACGCGGCGGCAGAGAACGCGGCGGGAAGAGAACGCGGCGGGCAGAGAACGCGGCGGACCGACTTCCGGTTCGCAGCATCCGCTTCCGCTCCTGAGGCGAACGGCGGCGCGGTTCCTGCGGGAGGCCAGCCCCTGCGCGTCCGCGGTTCCCGGCCCCTTCTGCTCTGCTCAGCTGCTCCGCTCCGGGCCCCCGTACGTGCCTGGGCGGTCGGCCTATGTTCCCTCGTGGGCCGCCGCCAGCGCCCGGAAGTCCGATCTACCGCTGCCTCCCTCCCCACGCCGCGCCACCCTCCCCTCCCCCGTCCTCCTCCATTCCACTCCACCTACCCACGGTGCCCACACCTAGTCCTGGCCGCAGTCTACCCCGTCACTGCTAATGGCCCTCCCTTCCATGGCCTTCTTAATGTCCTCATGGCCATTATCCACGCTGAGAACATTTTAATGACTTCCTATGGTAAATGAAAATTCCCTCAAAGCTGTCAACAAATCCCACCAAGTAAAGTGGTTTACGTGTGTATGCATGTGTATAGAATTTGTCGCTTTCTAGTACTAATGGGTCTTGTCTTCAACTTGAACACAGGGTCCTCCCAAACATTTGAAAGAGCGGTGCTCTCCCTGAAATGAGTCTGGTGATCAGAAATTTGCAGCGAGCGATTGCAATTTAGGAGAGTGCCACTTCGAAGGAAGATGGAGATTGTAAGGAGTATTTTAGGCGTGCAGAGATTTGACCTGGGGATCGTCTATGTTGACAACAAGAATATTCAGCACATTAATAGGATCTACAGAAAGAAAAATACCCCAACTGATGTGCTTTCTTTCCCATTTCATGAGGTAAAAAATACATTTCTCTTCTTGTCAAGCTTTCCCTCCAGAATACCTTTCCTGGATAATAGTGACGTAGTTCTTAATTTTGATTTTGAGATTTTAAAAAAATACACAAAAGTAGATAGCAGTGTGAGCCACCCCATTGAGCATGCCCACCCCTAGAGCCTACAATTCCAAAAGGTGTAGTTGACTGCACTCTCTGCCCTTGTTGCTGTTGGTGAACTAAAAGAAGTACCTCTTCAAATTTAAGCTTGAAAGCAAATTGCAATCACAGTGCTTCAGTTTGTGGAAGTCCTGCCATTTTCCTGCTGAAAGAAAAGTCATACCCAGTGCTAGTGTCTCACACTTGTAATCCTAGCTAGCTGAGATCTGGAGTATTGAGGTTAGAGACCAGACCAGGCAAATAGTTCATGAGACTCCATCTCCAAAATAATCAGATCTAAATGGACTGGAGATGTGGCTCAAGCCGTATAGTAACCTGCTTTGCAAGTGTGAAGCCCTGAGTTCAAATTTGAGTTCCACAAAAAAAAAAAAAAGCCACATTGATTGTTTTAGATTTTTGCTTTTATGAGGGTAAAATCATAACAACTTGACACGGACAATTCAGAGTTACAAAACAAAAATTTTAAGCATGACCTAATGAATATGTTTGGGTTGGAAAAGTGAAAAGAAACCAGGGTAGATATTTTCAACAAATATATGATAGCTACATTATGTAAATTCAAGGCTTTGCTCATTGTTAGTAGCAGCATAAATTGGAGCGTCCTTTTGAAGTAATTGGGCAGTATGCAGTGCTTGGAGAGCCTTTTAAACAAACACATATCAATAATCCACTAGTGTCAGGAAGTAAATCCAAAAAAGGAAAAATGATACAATGATAAATGTAATGTAAATGTGTTAAAATGTTCACTTTTGTTTCCTGTAATAAGAAAAAAATGGCAGCATACTAAGTATCCAACCACAGGTGACTGACTTAGTGTGAACAATTCTCACCTGAGGGACTGGTCTTTAAGCATCTGCAGAAATGAAGGACTTTGTTCAGTACACAATACTAAGCAAAAAAATAAATATAAAATTGTTGATGTGCTGTTATAAACTCTAGAAATTGTGATTCTGTGTGATTCCACATTGGGAGGGATGAAAGAAATAGAAGTAAGGGGTTGGTAGAGTGGCTCAAGTGGTAGAACACCTGCCTAGCAAGCCTAGCAAGCATTAGGCCCTGAGTTCAAACCCCAGTACTGCCAAAAAAAAAAAGAGAGAGAGAGAGAAAGAAACAGAAAGTAAGTCATTTAACAAGATGGAAGCATTTGAGGACACTTGTGTGTAGTGGCTGTGCAATCCATTCACCGCCACCCCCCTTAGGCCCTGGATGGTGCCCTGCAGTCAGTAGCCAGCCAGATCCTGTGGTCGGGTTACCTTTTCTGAACACGGTGTCCTCCAAGTCTGTTTCTTCATTTTTAGAATCTGAAAGCAGGTGAACTTCCCCAGCCAGATTTTCGAGAGGATTATAATTTGGGAGACATTTTCCTAGGAGTGGAATATATCTTCCAGCAGTGCAAAGAAGACGAAGACTACTATGACATGCTGACTGTAAGTGGGGCTGCTGAAGTTACCTGTCCTGCCATTACAGTGGGGTTTGAGGAGACCCTGTGGACACACTAATGTCCACGGGTACCATTGCATTGCTGTGGGACAACTTATTTAAGTCCATAGCACACACCTTCAAAAAACAG